ATATAAATAAAATACAACACGGTGTATTCCGCATCGCCCTCGGTCCCGGCCCTTCCGCGAGTCGGATCGCCCTCCGGCCTGCGGCCGTCGGGCGATCCGACCCGCGGTCGGGCCGATACCTCGGGCGATACGGAATACCCCGTGTTGTATTCTATATGTAGCTAATGTACTGCATTTATCCCCAATGGAGCATAAATTTTAAATATGCAATAAAATTCATTGTCACTGATAAAAAGTTACCGGCCAACTCACAGCGGGAAGTTAATAAACCTCCTTGGCTGATCGTTTCATCTATAACTACCCTCAAAAAAGATTTTCTTCCAAAGTACATTTAACGTTACCCATGGACGTAGAAGAGTTTCTTCTACCTCCATGCGTTACCTACTCCTTATCAACATTTCAAACAGCCGGGGAATCTCATGTGTCGAACTCGGAACCATGGAACGATCTCTCATTGGTTTATATACAGGTTCAAAGGTCAAGAGTCTGTCACACTTATTTCCAACGCGGCATAGCCGTGCGTACTGGTGGTGTTGACAAATACTCGGACCGTGAAGCCTTTGGGATCTTTGATAACCGTGCCTGTTACGAAAACTCGCGCCCTGGAAGTTAATAAATACCGTCACGTCACAGACCGGGTGGTACCAGGTCACCGAGCCGAGTTTGTGTGAGTCGAGCCTTTCGGCGTTCGAGTGCGGGTTTGTGGCGTGTAGTGCTCACATCAGCGCTGGGGTCTGGTGTAAATCCCTGCTGGTCCTCGGCAAGTTTAGATCGGATCGGATCTGCGCGGACCAAAGAGGTTTCTTTGGTTGCAACAAGCTCCATCTAGTTTCTCTTGATCAGGCTGAGTCATGTATGTTAATGTTTATGCGTGAGTACGTCTACGGCAGTCCCGTGTTGCCGAACTGGTCCCAGATGCGATGAAGCAGCTGCCGCGGCCGTTGTGCATGTGGCGCCGATCTGTCTCAAGCAAGCTGGGGATCTGAAGCAAGACGGTGAACCTCACCTTACCCGGACTACAGTCGACAACTTACGCAACACAAGGAAAACATATCACGGGCTAGATCATGACCCTGTGGCAGATTTTACCGGGCTCCCCTACTGGGGTGCTGGCGGTTGTTTGTGCGCTGCTGGTGACCGTGCGGGCTCACCCGCAGTGCTTGGACTTCATGCCGCCGTTCGAGCCCGCCGAGCCGCTGACGTTCTGCCGGGAGTACGGCGAATTTGGGTGCTGCACCCGCCGACAGGTAAATACGTACTGCCAAGGCACAAAATTGGTTCGGCCTCAGGACATATCAGTTGAACTAAGGTCTTTGGTTGAACTGATGATCTTTGATTGGGCATTATGCATATTAATCCGAGTAACCAAGGAGTAACCAATAAATCAAATTCACGTGGCCTTACGTGGAAAAAAATTACTAACGTGAAGTTGCCAAACTGAAGAATTTATACGATGACGTTACATCCTCATCACTTAATTAGCTTAAGGTCAAAAATTCGAGAACCAATAAATCAAATTCACGTGGCCATATGTGGCAAAAATTATATAACAAAAGTTATATAACGTTAGTGAAGTTGACAAATCCTCATCACTTACAATTAAAACATTTTATGCTGCTTTCCTGTTGTGACAGGTAACATTAGGCCACACCAATTTAATTTGTTGGTTCTCGGATTTTTTCAGAAAAAATATGAAGCGACAGGGCGAAAAAAAAAATAAAAATAAAAACAGGTCTAGGCTTAAATGCTACAAAATGAGCCATGAAGTCAACACAAAAGGCTGGGATAAAATTTAAACATTGAATTTTGAACTTTTAATCAAACCACTGCAATGATAGATGGGAAAACTGTAACAACTAGGAAGAAAAGGACTTTCCTCAACTGTTGGGGGGCAAAACATGAGCATTTTTCAGTTGATTCAGGACCAGAATCAAATTTTTTTTTTTTTGCAAATCAGAAAAAAACGAAGAGGCGAATCCGAGAACCAATGAATTGAATTGGTGTGGCCTTATGGTTACATAAATTTATCAATGGTGGGAATGTAAATTTCGCTTGAGCCCAGATGTTATGGCATTTACGTTATCATTTAAACTATGTGGCAGAGATACATGTAATTGTATGATTATATTTCTGTATATGTCTTAGTGAATATCTAGAGTGCCTCTGGTTTGTATCATGTAACTGTTACCAGGACAGTTCGATCAAAGGCCTTAGTTCAACAACGTAAATTATCTTGGAGTAAAGTTATAAAAGCCTGATAAATATGGCTGTGGTTACATAAACTGATAAAGCTTTGAATTATGAAAACTCACCAACAACTTTAAGTTAATAACATTTATTATTATGATTCAAAGTCACCTACTAGTATAATCTTCTCTGGACTACTGTAGTACAGCTGTCAAAATATCATCCACTTGTGACAGATAATTTACCACTGGTGGGGATAGTTTTACTTTTAGCTTGGCTGGTCTTGTGTTACAGCAAGGAACAGAGACACACACTACATATACCAGTACTCTTTAGTCTTACATGTATATGGTTACTGTACAAAACCTTTCAGAGACATCTTGTCATACTGTGAAAGTAAACTTGGCCAGGTCAAGTGTGTGTGTGTGTGTGTGTGTGTGTGAAGACAAGTTATTGTGGTTGATAACCTCCAAAACTGTGGTTGTGTCACAAGATGATCAGTGGTCTGGTGGCAAGCAATCCTTCTGGTTCATAAGTTTAGGGTTCAAATCCCAAGGCACCCGTGGGAAGACCCAGGAAAGAGGTATCAGCCTGGAAGGGGACATGGTTAGCCGTCTGTCCCACAAACCAGTCACTGGTTCTGAGTCATCTGATAACAAGTCTGGCCTTCCATGTTCAGAACTCAGCATCTTGAGAACACATTTGAGAAGTCATTATACAAAAGAAGGGCCATGTCAAAATCTATCACAGGAGTGCAATCTGTACTTGTGAATGTAAAGTTCAGAACCTACATGCTGTGCCATGTGGGAAGGATGTGATTCAGACTACTTGAACTTCATCTTGAATCATCCCTGTAAACTGACCCTCATGACATTTGATATACCAGCATTTACTTTCTTTAGTTAATTCTATTTACAAATCTTACGCAAAACATATTCACTGTATGTAGGAAATAAAAGAATGTTGGTATGGTCAACTTCAGCTTGTTTAGGAAATGCACAAAGATAACCACATGTCCCCCCAACAAATGGAATGGCTAGACATACCTTCTAGACAGGTATTACCGGCAGTCTATGTGATAATCAGGAAAGGGAAAGGACAGAAAAGGTCTCATCAGTCTACCATACAGTTACCATGCCATACGCTCACAGTGAATTGAGAAATGGCATGAGCTTGAAATGTCCCCAAGAATTTGGCCACATTGGGCAAACCGCCAATGACAAATCTTAATGTCTGGATTACCATCCCATGCACTAAAATTTGACCTCTATCTAAACACACAACAGATATTATTGAGACACTAATCTAATCAGAATTTTTGTTAGACAGTAAGCACCTGAAAGGTAACAATAAGAAAGGCACATACTAGAGATATACAGTGTTTACATGTATACCAGTACATACCAGCCTTTACTAACACATATGTCCTGTGACTAGATCTGAAATCATTCTAGTTTTTTGCAAGTCAGTTGAATGGCACTGGGTAGGGATTGGAAATGTCGATCTTTTTGCCTAGAAACTAATTGCCAATCAAGACCATGCATGCTTGTACTACTACTGGTTACCTTATCAAGGATCACGTGAGTGGTAGGAGAGTGACAAAAATTGCTAAGGTATGCGGAAACTTAGGCCTTGCCACTACCTTTTGAAAGAAGGTGTTAAGATATTGACATTCCAAAGACACAAAGTGATATTGAATATACTTGGGTTTTAACCATGTACTGACTCAGTTGTATATATATAGTAGTCACATGGATCTCTCTATCATGTTTCAGTAAACGTTGAAATCCCTGTCATACTTGCTGGCAGAGGAGACAGCTTATGTGATTAGAACAGTTTGTAAGATGTAGCAGTGTGAGGTGTATCTTGGCTCACAGCCCAAACGTCTGTTAGTGTTAGGAAACGTGGCTTACGTGACAGGATGTGTAATGATGTCATGTGTCTGTTATCCCCACCTGTGCTTATATAAACCCTCAACAGCCTGAAGACAGTTTCTCTCTCAGTGTGACGTACTAGGGTCCTTCCTTGGAACCATGTGTGTCTAAGCAGTGGCTTTAGATTTTATGGCTTAGCGTAGGATTCAAACATGGTGAAAGGGGCATCTTTCTTGAATAAAGACATTCAAAATGAAGGTGGACTGTGGAGAAATAGGCTGTTTTAAAAGCTTATTATATTGCATTTCACAATATGTCCCATAAAACAACACTCTCTCCACATGGAATAGATCTAAGAGATAGATTTGTAGTATTAATCTCCCCCCTCCTCTGTAGGATTATGAACTGCAGCGACAGTTTGATGACATCCTGAGACGGATGCCGTACCATCTGCAGACATCCTGTCATCATCACCTCATGAACATTCTCTGCCAGGAGTGCTCACCTTATGCCTCTCATCTGTACGATCTGGAAACCACTCAGGTATGATACAGATGATGCTCTTTGTTTTACTGTCTGGCAGCTTCAGAGCAGGTAACCACAGATATTATCAAGAATTAGCAGCCAGGACAGGAATTGCCTCAGGGCGCAGGTTATCTTTTGTGTCTGCTTGCACAAGGCCAGGTACACGTAGTAGCCTTTCCCTAGAAGGCTGGAATATGTTGCCAATACTTGTTGTCACATACAAATAAGAATCAGCATGAAACAGCATCAGTAGTGTACACTTGTATTATACGGTGGCTATACGATTATTGATATTTTTTCATTGCAGGTAAAAAAGCCACTTCCGGGGATGTGTCCCCAGTACTGTCCTACTGTGTTCAACAGCTGCAAAGATATCATCCCTTTTATAACGGGTGACCCGACCGTACAACACGCCATTTCCCTGTCAAATTACACCCAGTTCTGCGAGGTGACCTCCATCACAGACATGGACTACTGCTACCCCAACCTCCTCGCCAATGAGCAGCTGTCAGGGAACATTCAGCAGGCCGTGGAAGGCACTGGTGGGGAGGGATGTTTGTGCTTCCAAGAGTTTGCAAACGGCTTAAAAAACCCCACAGTCCTGGTACATGCAGGTGACGGTACTCATCGTGTTTTCATCGGGGAGCAGCTGGGAAAAGTGTACGTGTATCTCCCCGATGGTAGCAGAGTGGACACGCCATTTCTCGACCTGACTAGCACTGTTCTGACGTCGAGTAGACGTGGTGATGAGAGAGGTTTTCTTGGGATGGCGTTTCATCCGGACTTCAAGGAGAACAAGAGACTCTTTGTTTACTACTCAGTCGGGACACCAAAGAATCAGAAGATTCGCATCAGTGAGTTCAAAGTAGCATCCCAGGACGTCAACCAAGTGGACCAGGACTCGGAGAAGGTTATTCTTGAGTTGGACGAACCAGCAGCCAATCATAATGGAGGCCAGTTGCTCTTTGGGGTGGACGGATTTATGTACGCTTTTATTGGAGATGGAGGGAAAGGAGGTGACCCCTTCGGTGAAAAAGGAAATGCACTAAATATGTAAGATACCCAATAATAGCTCCATTCAATAGCATCTTCTGTTTAAGGCAGCTAGATTGAGACTCAAGAAGCATTCCAAAGTAGTAGAGACATTTTTGGGTTGCACAGTTAAGGTGGAACTGGATTGACATAGGAGAAGGGGCTATGAAGTATGATGATATATGTCGTACTGTTATCAGAAGAACATGAGACTAAGAAAAATTTTCCTGCCCAAGCTCCTTAATTTTACAATGCATGGCAAATAGAATACTATAGGCACACAAGGGTATAGTGGCAACTCTCCTTACAAAGCATTTGGCACTATTAGTTTGTTCCGACAACCTTACATTCCAACCTTGACTACTTTATTTGCCTTCAGGTTGGTTAGAATTAATGGCCCAGGCTCTGAAGGCCTTGATAGTACAATGTGATAATTCTCATATCATCATCTCTGTACATCCCTGAACTATGGTCATGTTTAAAAGGCTTCAAGCTGTGAACCCCTTACACACTGACAGTCGAAAAACTTGTTTACATTCTATGGCCCCAAGACACTGCATAACTTGAATCACTAGATGTCTTCTTGGCCTCTTGTGTAATTATCTATACCTTGAGTATAACAGTAAAGAACACTACACATATACCTCATGATCTGTTGCTTTGTTTTTACTTTCTCAGGACAACTCTACTCGGAAAAATTATTCGCATTGATGTCAACCATCCAGACGAAAGCGTGCCTTATGGCGTGCCATGGGATAATCCGTTTGTTGGCCAACGCAACGTCAAACCGGAAATCTACGCTTACGGCACTCGCAACATGTGGAGGTGTGCCGTGGACCGAGGGGACCCGGAAAGCGGAGAGGGCCGAGGGCGCATTTTCTGTGGAGATGTCGGACAGGGCAAATGGGAAGAAATCGACATTATTGAGAAGGGAGGGAACTATGGATGGCGTGCGTTCGAGGGCTTTGAATGCTTTGACAAGGAGCTCTGCGAAACTGAAGAGTTGGGTAGGTATGCGCTACTCCTGATAGATAAAATTGTTCACATGTGCAACTACCTTTGGTTACCATAGCTTCTGCTGTGGATTAGTGGTAGGAAGTGCCTGCAGTGACAGTGTAGGTAAGACTTGAATATTGTTTCCACATGCACAGGTCGCGGCCCTGTATTGTGTAAGGTCTGCTGGTCCTTATCAAATGTTTCTGCTTCCTCATGGTTACATGACTTGTTTTTCCATGTGAAGAGGATGTGTCAATAAGGATCTTATGTGGGTCAAGGCTTGGGCAATGACTGGGCTGAAAACTTTCATGCTATCAATGCCATGTAGCTTGAAAACATTTTTAAAAGCATCTTTCAAACATAATGTGAGGCCACACCAATTCAGTTTCTTGGTTCTCAGATTTTTGCAGAAAATTAATGGGCGGGTGGGCCAAAAATGAAATTAGAATAGATCTCCATGCTTCCACTGTACTGTGCAGAAAATTTTTATGCATTATGACATGCAAGACCCATGTAGAAATTTAAGATACAGATAAATTGTATTTAGATAAAATGTCAAAAGTTGCCTTTTTTTCAATAAAACATACCGTAAAAACTGTGCTAATTTATGTGGAAACATGGTTGCAGACTAGCTGACTGCTGCCCACCCCAGTTTATCTCCAGACAGATGTTTCGGGCGGGAGGGCTAGGAGTTTTAACCTTCTAGAAATCCTGGGCATCCCTATTAGCCACTCCAAAACCCCCTACCGACACCTCTGCTTGGAGAATATACCCCAGTGTCAGGGACTCCCGCAGCAGTATGATCAAAAACTGGATACTACTACCACTACTTTATGAGCAGAATGGTACTTGTCGCCTTTTTTCAAGCCAGAAAGAAATGAATCTCAGAGTCAGAACTAAGAAATCAAACTGGTGCAGTCAATGCATTACACAACTCACGCCTCAAATCTGAATGCTTTTATGCAGACAGTATCATGCAGCTTGAAGGCATTTAGGCTATTAAAGCCTCTCTCAAAATTTTTATGTAACATTAGCTTACACGTTACACAACTAACTCTTTATTTTCCAGTTACACATTACTGAATCTAATAAGTAACATATGGACTCCAACTGGAACAGCAACAAACAAAGACCCTGGAAACTCTCCTGGCCAGTTTATGGTATTAGAGTGGACGTAAACTAAAGGGGACATTAACTAACCAGGATAGTACAGAGGCTAATTGGCCTGTACTAAGTGTTTCAATGCCATCATTTAGCTGCTAGAATGTCATTACCCTGTGCCAAATGTTTACAGTGTATTTATGTGGTAAACAGGGTAACTTGACAACTTGGATTTGCTTGAAACTAAATTTTGCATCACGAGTCATGACAGCCCAAAGTGGCTAGCAACAAACCTGCTGGGCCCTACTGCATACTGTTGTTGATTAGAAAGGTTTAGAAAAGTAACACTGTCTACACTGTCTTAAATGGCTTGTCTTGGTTAAAGGTATGTTGGTCATTATTGATAGTTTTCTGGTACATTTGTATAACACTTTCTTGGATGTTTGACAATCAGAGAAAAGTTTCGCCCCCAAGTGTTTTTAGGCCTCCAAAGTTCACTGTACTCTGATGACAGAAGAGATACATACCAAAGAACTCTACGTATCAAAGCAAAATACATTGGAAGGGTGGTAATGCCATGCAACTTACACAAAGAGAAATTGGGACACTCTTTTGTTTTTTGATCTTTGTCCAGAATAGTCAGGCCCCCATCCCTTTTTTGTACATGGCTATCTAAGAGGCAAAAAGCTAGCTTGATTGCCAACGTAAGAGGCTGGTATGTCAACACTTTCCTGGTTTGTGTCACAGTTTAGGATTCAGGATTTTCTCAGAGGAACTACGCCAGCTATGTAACCAAACAAAGAATGCTTGTCCTTGTTTTAAGTGCAACATATACTCACTCAATATCAGGTAAGCCGTGACATTACCCTTGTGTGATAAGTTCAATATACAGAGACTAATGAAACTGTCTGATGTTTACACTCCTGTGATACTTAGTTTATGTAAGAAGGTGGAGAATGCTGACTTAAGTGATGAAAATCCACTTCTACAAATCCTAGCACTACATTGTGACTCCACCCAAATGTTTGATGGGTTTACTCTAATATTTACTTATAGATCCCAGCAACACTCGATCGAGTCCATCGGTGATTAATTAAGCCTATAAAATAATTTATTGCTTGGCTTGAAAAGGAATTTCTTTCTCATAAACTTGTGCAAAAAAGCCATTCTTTAAAAATTGACATCAAGGTACAGCAAACACTTTTTCACTCAAAGTTTTCTGTTTTTCTCAGCCAACCATATCCCACCCATACATGTGTATGGCCATGATGTAGGGAAGTCTGTGACAGGAGGATATGTGTACAGGGGCTGCCTGTATCCTAATCTGAATGGACAATACATCTATGGAGACTTCTGGAATGGGTAAGCTATTGATTTTCTTTGAAATTCATTGATTTATCATCAACACCTAGGGCCACAGTCTTAATGTTGGCACATTATGAAAGTCCAAGCATATCTTTTTAAAAATTCATAATCCTGGACCATCCCTCCACTATGAAAATGTAACTCTTTCAATTTTTTGTTGGATTAGATATATAGCTGGTTCATTCAAAAATTCTATTGTAAACAGTGTTTTCATCTCTCTGTAACAGGATGAAGTAACACTGGAGCACAAATTGCAGTATCCTAGAAACAAATGGGAAAGTGTGAAAAGAAGTTAGGAAAAACAGAGCTTATCTGAACAATATCTGTCATCGTGTGTTTGTAGAGTACATTTTCCACCTGTAGTGCATTTTCTGGTATTTGATTATTGTGTTTAACAAAGTTGTTTTTCTCAGGAAATTGTTCTCGCTGACAGAAGACAAAGAGCGAGGAGTGTGGAACAACAGAGAGATCTGCGCTGGCAGCGCTGCTATCTGTAACAACGAACTCCAGGGGTCGTATGTTCCAGACATCCTGTCTTTTGGAGAGGATGAAGCAGGTAAGCATGGAAATACATGTACATGTCTGTAAATAATTACATCAGGTTGGTGCATGATTGAATGTCAAACTTCTCTATTCACAACCAAAGTGGTTGTGAATAAAGAACTTTTATATTTATGAAACTAGAGTTCCACGATCTCATACCTTCGCCAAATGATGTTAATCTTTATGACTGACAAAGTTTAGATTAGATTATTCCCCCCTGATTTAAGAAATAGGAACCTAATTTTCATGAATTATATCATTTTATCATAATCCCAACCAAAAGACAGTCTTATATTAACAAAGAATGCATTCTAGCATTTCCTAATAAATTATGCAAATGAGGTCCTGATTTGAATAAATTATGTTTAATGATGTTCACCTCAATTTAACTTTCAAATACCACAAGTATGAAATTCCAGGCAGTTATCATTACATAATTATAAAATTTTCTCATTAATTATGCAAATTAAGTCATTATTAACATAATCAACATCTTCCTGTGTTTCTCTCGTTGTCAATTACCAATGTCACAAGCTTCAATTGTCCTATCATGGAATGCAGCTGATTTATAGAATTTCCCCATAAATTATGCAAATTACATCCATATTTGCATAATTGTCACATTATTATATTAAGCATCACGTAAGCTACCTACATACCAAAAATCACGACGATCCGTCAACCGGTTCTTGAGTTATCCCCTTTTGAATATTTTCAAGAATTTATCCCTGCAGTTCCAGAGCAAGCCGCTAGGGGGCCTAAACTCACGTCACTTCTTTCCCAGCACAAGAGCTACCTACCATCTAAATTTCATCACCATAGCATGTCTAGATCATGAGATATCAAAACCGGAAGTTCAGCTGCAGTACCATAACAAGCCGCTAGGGGGTCCAAAATCTAATCATTTTGAGGTCTCATCAAGACCTACCCACCTACCAAGTATCAAGACAATCCATCAAGGCCTTCTCAAGTTATCGTGTTTACAGACAGACAGACAGACAGACAGACACACACACACACACACACATACACGAACGCCCCTGAAAACATAACCTTCTTGGCGAAGGTAAAAATATGTCTAGGAAATGTTTGTGTCATTATAAACTGGCCTATTGCAAGAACAAGAACTCTGCTTCCATAAGATGTTACCTATTGTACATTTAAGCGTGCCATGGTCAAACCATTGCTTACTTCACTTCACATGTCAAGCCTTATTGGGACTTAGGGCAACTTAGCTTGTGTAAAGTGTATAGTCACTGAAATGAAATCTTACATGTTGCAAAGGCATAACACAAAGCATAAAAGCTTCTACTTTCCCCCTAACTACAGAACATTTTGAAAGGGATATTTAGGTTTCCACATATTTAACTTTCAGAGTCTGTGTTGTCCTTTCTTCATCTACACAGGTGAAATGTACATGCTGTCTACTGACTATGCCAGCACCAGCCATACTGGTGGGATAGTGTACAGGATTGTGGACCCTGCTAGGTAACTCTCATTATTTTTGTGGGATCCTTAATCCAATTATTTGATTGAATCCTTTTTTGTTTGATATTGCAACCTGCAGTCTGTTCTATACAATACAGTGTCAACAGTTGTAGATCTTATAAGTTATATAAATTTGTATGTATGTTATCAAAAGGTTTGACAAGACTAGTCTGCTTGTAAGCACTTAGCCCTTCCACCATATCATTATTGTAACCTTAATCCACTCTGCATACTCTGCAGGACAAATGTGTTACTGTTATGACACCTGAGGAGTACTGAACGTTAACCATACAATCACATTATTGCCTGTGTTATTCTCTTCTCTAGGCGAGGAGACCCAGAGCAGTGCAGCAGACAAATATCACCTGTCACTGTTCATGGGTCCACAACACCTTTTGTACACTCATCTGGTAAGTAGCTTGTGTCTGAACAAGCAAGGAGGAAATATCTTGATATCTACTTTAAATATTTTTATGGCTCATAGTGCTTGATTTTTGAATAGTTACAGTCACATGTTGTGTTCACAAATTCTGGCATCAAGCCTCAACTCTGGAGTCTTGTACACATGTATGTGATGATGATTAACTAGCCTGGAATCCATCAGTTTTTGCAACAAAGCTGAAACCAAATGGATACAGGGTGAACAATTGAGAAGGTCATTACTGGATCATTTAGATCACAGGTCCCTCATTGATCTTATGGGGCCTTCATAAACATGCTTTGGAAGATAAGCCAATGATAATCCTGTTTCAGTCTTTGATATGCATGAATGTTAAACTTTTTTTTCACTCCATCTGCTTTTTGAAACACCAAATACTGCTTTTGAAGTTGATATTACAGTTGTTTACATGAGTCTACTTAGTGTTTGTCTGTCTGTGTGTCTGCCCTCTCTGTTAAACCTGAGTCTTTTGTGTTGCTTACAGAGTCACCAACTGTGACTCCTCTCTCCACCATGGCCTCCGAGCCAAGCAGTAAACACCTGGGTTGTACTTCCTCCTTCTATTCCTTCCTTAAACTAACCCTCCTTGCATGTTAGGTGGTCGACTTTCTTTCCCTATTTCTAAAGTGGACCTTCCCAAACACTCAGAAAATGCAGGCGTGTTTGGTTGATTCCACTCAGAAGTAGGGATGGGAAGTTTGTTTGGGAACCATTCTGTTCTGCATGCTTGAACTGCATGGATGGTGTAATGCATGTGTAATAGACAACATTGTAACAGTAAGGGACATAATTTATTTAAGTAGTCTTTTCTTTACATGTCTTAGAATTTAGCCTGAATCATACATGTAGGTTACAATATCAAGCCTCTGCATTGACACTACTACAAGTATGTCAAAAGACTGCATTTAACTTGATTAGGTTTAAAACCTTTCCTATTTTGACATTAGTCCAAACGAAGCAATTTGTTAAGCTTTATAGAAAAAATGTAATGGTAAATGTAGCTGTATTTCAGTAGCAACTGTAACCAGCATTATGATAATGTAGTGTTGTTCTAATCTTTTCACTGCCCCATTAACTCACCATAACATCATAGTTGCCATTTATTCTGACCCTGGTTTTCTGTGTGTTTCTCCACAGAAAAGTCCCACAGCTGCCATCTGTCTCCTTCTCTTGCTGTTCTCTTTGTGGCTGTCCTTTCCGTGTTTGTGACTGCACCAGTGACCCCATGGTCAGGGTTTCTCATCTCCCGCAGAAAGGGTCACCTGCCGGACCTGTCGTAGGGCCAAGGCTAACTCCAACACCTACTGCAATGCTGATTTCGGTAAGAAAGGTGTCTTTCCTTACTCACTGAGTATTATCAGGAAAGATAAGTGATGCTTGTAGATGTTTCATGCCTATCTATTCACTTGTGATCTAAAGGTTGTTCAAGAGTTGTACATGTATCTTGTTTTCTAACATTTCATAGTATTTAATCACAGACTTTATGGACTTGTGTGCTTTACCTCTCATATCTTGTACCATTTCCCTGATTGAATTAACCTCCATGTTACAGTGTTGAGGGGGAGTGTGATGGAACGCAGGACAGTTAAAAATGGCTTCCTCACTGAGGTTTATGTGCAGATCTCTGTGCACAAGATATGGAAACAGTCCAGTGCCATACCTAAGATCAAGTCCAGTCTTAGGCTGTGGCTGTCCCAAAGAACTGCCCAGTGTGACTGCCCCAAGGTTCAAGTAGGCAGTACTTACTTCATCATGGGGATATATGACATCTGGTCCAAGCGACTGAAGATCCACACAACAACAGTTGTACGGCTTTGGCACTATAACTGGAGCAAGAGGGTCCTCAACTACAAGATGTTGTGTGACTTCCGCTCTCGCCCGACCATTAAGCCAGGGAAACCACAGAAACAGCCGCAGCCTCTTCAACAGGCACCTGCTGCATCTGCGTTGCAGCAAGCAGCAGTGTTTCAGTCCAATGTAGCCGAGATGGCACCAATTCCACCAGATGCCGAAATGGCATCACAACCCAGTCAACCTGCACCGCCTCCGTGGAAGCCAGACCAACCTCTTCCATCAAACCTCAACCCTGCAGGTTACTTCCCAAGTCACATCCCCTCCCAGGACCCCTTTGCCTTACAGCCTCACCAGACTGTAGAGCAATGGCAGGTGCAGCACCCTGTCAACCCGCCAGCTGCAGCTGTACCCTCTCCTCGGCACGTTGCAGAGCCTGCCCCAGTGTGGCCGAGCCATCCCGCCCTGCCACCTAGCCATCAGACACCACCCAGTCATCACTACCAACAGCCAAATCCACTGCAGCAGTTTCCACCTCAACCATACCACCAGCCCTCTGTAGCTGACACACACCAGCCACAACATCAGTATCCACCTTATGCCATTCCTAGTAACCCCCAGTCATCAGTGTCTGGTCCATATCTTCCACAGCCAGCCCAGTACCCACCTTTTGATGCACCAAGCAATCAAAACCCACATGCAGGTAATCCGTATGGTCCCCAACTACCCCACTATCCACCTTATGCTGTTCCTAGTGGCCAGCAACGTCCCGATTCTGGTCTCTATTACCCACAGCCAGCTCCATATGCTGTTCCCAGCCACCAACAAGCCTATGAGTCCAGTCCATATGATCAACAACAACATCAGTATCCACATCTGTCTAGCCCCCAGCAACCCCCTGCATATGGTCCATACAACCCACAACCACCACAGTACTCACCCTATGCTGTCCCTAGGCACCAGCAACCAGATACACTCAGTCAGTACCACCCACAACAGGCTCAGTACCCTCCACACACACTGCCCAGTTACCAGCAGCCACCTGTGGCTGTTTACCAACCTCAGCCTGCACCCAACTACCAGCCTTATCAACCCAGTGTACAGTCACAGTATCCTCAACAGCAACCCCAAGGTAACTCAGACCCACCTGACCCACCACAGTACCCTTTCCCAGGTCATCCATACTCACCCCCAGCCCAGCCTTACCCACCTTACCAACAACCTTACCCACCAAGCCCCCACGACTCCTATGGGCCTGCCCCCTCTGCCAGTGTTCAAGACCCCGTCAGGATTGTAGATGGTAAAGTGCCTGACCATATAAAATGGGACCCTTAGCAATCATTTCTTGGTTACCAACTTTGTGAGGAGCAATCAGCAGAACTACTAGTATATAATGCCCATGGTATATTCTCTGCTGTTATTTCTTATTCTTTTGTTATTCCAGAGAAAATGTATGGTAGGATGTCAGATTCAGTTATGTTTTATTTTGGACATCTGTAAGGGGTTGGCTTTACTATATAATGTCATAACATGTACCACTCCAGGACAAATTTAGCAATGTAAGCTACGCAGATTAAACACAGATTCTCAGAAATTTGCAATCTTACTATGATGCCAAAGATGGGAAACAGTCTCTGTTTTTATGTGGGAGTATTAAGACTTCTGATGTATGGCCAGTATTAAGACTTGGCCAGTATTAGATTCACTAATCTTAAAGGAAAACTTTGAGATGCATGCTTTCCTTCACAGTGCTAACCTACTTCAGATTAATTGTAGTCATGATGTGTAGAACTTAAGTTCAGATGTAAAGATTGATCTTTTCTCTTGCTCTGGACATTTTGTCCCCAAGGGAGGACAGGCATATCTTATTGTTAATGATTTCAAGAAGTTCTGATATAGCAAAAGTGCTCCATACATGTAATCTGACATGAAACCTGCCAGAGACTGCTCTGTTTATCATGTACAATACAAAGATATCAAAGATGTTAAACTAGACCAAAGAGAAAAAGCAAAATTACTCAGATGCTGCTTTTCCTGAATTCTAATCCAACATTGCATTTGAAGTTGTATGGTGAATGTGTAACTTGTTAACAGTCAAATTTTAAAAATCTTACTTTTATATGTACATGTATTTGTGATAAAGTTGTAAGGGCTAGAAACTTTGTACCATCTGTACTGAAGAATAGGGACTACTGAGGTATAGGAACAATGTTTCTGAGGTGACACAGAAGCAAACTGAGAGCACTTGACTGGAAGATGTGTCAGAAAACTGACACAGAAAGATGTGAGTAAATGGCAAGAAAAAATAAAAAGTACAGGTTTTTCAAATGGTAGCTGTTCTGCTTGACCATGTATACACGTGTAATGACGTTTAGAATAGCTTATTAAGGCTGCACAGGTCAGGTAATGTGATAAGGTTTGTTTTAATGAGATTGATGGTAAAATGGGGGACAGAACAAAATTGAGGGAGAGGATGTGAAAACGTGTTTCTCCTTATGGTCGACAGCTCATACAGTAAATCTAATGCCTTGGTAGATACATTTTTTTGGTGTTTATTTTTTATCACACAACCCATCCCCAAATAGAAAGCATACCAGTTGCTAGTGTCTTAAAGCCAGCAATGATTAACATCAAACAAAATCTTAAGTCTCAAACATACATTGTATATACAACTGGGAATGTAATGAACAAATATTACCTGACTTCCCTGATAGTAATGATATACAAAAAAGTGTACATGGCAAGAGGAGCATTCCTAGCAAAACTATGCAATTACTATGCAAGAAAACAAATTCCTTCTCTTAAGTTGAGCATTTTGCATTTGTAACTTCTGTTCCCCACAGCCTCGTACAGTTGTCAACCTCATTTAACTTGACCGTAATCGATCTCCCTGTCTACAGCACTTTTAAAGTAAGCTTCGACTAACATGACTCTAATTAATATAAAAACACAAATGGCACTGAAATAACATCTTTCTTTCTTAATAGCATTTCTTTTTAATATGGTTAGCAGTATTGCACTATTTCTAAACTACCAACACCAAAGGCAGTATGAAGATCATAGCGAGATCTTGGATGAACACCATAGAAAGCAACTTTGGGAAAGACCAGTAGATACACTGTCAACTACATTTGTCGTTTACTAAATAAACTTAGTAATAGAATGATTCTTTAGAATAAATCTTTATGATTGTGGATTTACCATATATCTTTTCCACATTTCTCAAAGCCTTAACTAACTTTAAATTTTATTTAAAGTCATTGAGACTTTTTACCATTCATTGAAGTAAAGTAACATATAAATTTGGTACACTCTATTACAAGCCACAGTTTATGTCAAATATTCAAGTCTGAGCATTCATCATGTTTTAGCCCATATAAAATATCTAAATGACATCACAAAAGATGAACTTCCTATCTAACAACCACAAAGGAATCATTCCGAAGCTGGAACCAGCTGCCTTAATTTCTCCTAACCCTTACATGTATTTTTCCAGGGATTGGTTCAACCATATTGAATTTATATGACAAAACCACCTATAATGACAAACTCGTACACACAACAATCACATGGTAGAATCTGTCACTGGATGAAAATACATAGCAAGAAGCTAAGTCAAAACCCACCAAAGTCCCTATTTTGCTTTGATCATGGTGTGACTCCAGGCAATGCCCAACAGCTTCATCTAGATGAACCAATTATTGTGCAGAAAGAACCCTTCAAGCCTCTGCTGCCATGCTCTCTGGGATGAGTTTTGTGAGGATGTCTGTCAGGAGAGACACTGATTGGTCCATCCCTGCCTCCAGGTTAAACCCAGCCCACAGCTCACTGTACCTGTCAATCAAACTCAGCAGCCTGGGGGAGGAGACAGACAAAAGGATCAGACTTGTAACATACAAAAATGTCATAGAAGCTATTTCGGGTATCCAGCACACAATTTCTGTGTTTTGTGGGGGTTTAACTGTGCGCTTTGTATAAATACCAGAATGAACAAAACATGCAATTTTGCTTTCATTCAGATTTCAACAGACTGTTTTAGACAAAGAGTGTACCCTGTTTCAAGCCATTACAATTAGACAGGTAAGAAGCAGCACACCTGTTGGCCAGGTCAGTCCTGGTGGTGGCAGGTAGGTTGGCCACGCCCACATTGATGACAGGTAGCCCCACCCCTCCAGGGTTCTTCCCAGCTGACAGTAAAGCCCGGACAAGCCTGGACAGGGCAGATGTGGTAAAAATTGTAGGAAGTTACAATGTATTGTCCTCACAACAAAGTCATCTTGCAACAGACTAGTCACTCAATAAAGATTCAATGTACATGTATAGAGACCAGACAGAGAATGGAGAAGAAATCTATGTTCTATGATAATAACAAACTCTAAACTGATGTATAAGCATCAGACACTAATTGTTATTTCAAACAAGTTTTGCCAACTGAATCAGGTATAAAGAAGGATGAGCACATACAGTGTGCATATCACCTGAAAAGTTCACAAACGGCACTGGCAAGAATAACAAACTCATGAATATGGGCACATTTACTTCTTTGGAGGATGTGTACTAAGTTATCATGTTTTCAGCAACCATGTTAGACATGACAAATGTTCTCAACACTGCAATATGAACAACACTTCATTTCAAAAACTAGTAATGTTACATACTTGCAGGCAAAGACAAGCATGTCCACAGTCAGGTGGAGCTCAGACACCACCTGGCAGCTGTCCTTGCACTGCAGGTCTGCCTTACCAAGGGCACTGTTGCACCGCCTGATGTGTCGCATGGCTTTCTGTGGGGAAGAAGGAAAATTTTTCCTGCTGTGACAAGAATGTAGAGATACACAAAAACACAGGAGACATAAAGTTTCAGTTATTGATACCGTAGACAGTTTTATTCTGTATAAGCCTGTTTATATAAAAGATTGACTGATTAATAGGGGAATGCATATGAGTTGTATCCAGACCTGCACATTGTCCGGTGTGAGTCTCTCAATGTTGACGCTGTCCTGCAGTAGTTGTGGTGACATGAGCTGGTACAGGAGGGACCCGTCCTGGCCAGGCAGGTCTGTGTTGTCGTTCATACGCTGCTGGCGAGACACCCGCAGGAGATAGGTCTCCGCCCGTCCCAGCTCGATGATGACCTGGCCCATTACACCGGCTCTGTCCTGGTACACATGGGTGTTGATCAGGTCTGGGAGGTTTGCATGGACAAAGTCCTGGAGGGAAAGGATTATACAAGCATAGCATTTTATTTGACTCATGAAATTAACAGTGTGACAAAGCTCACTGACCCTTTGTCACCATATCTCTGCAATTTGGAACCAACAGCCTGTAACACCACTTTCGAGCAACAGTATCTGAAACCTGATTAATTGAGCAGCAACGTAAATACAACGTGCACAAAAACAGTACAATGTTAATTCCTTAATTCACAGCATGTAACCTACTGGACAGCTACTCACCCAATGAGAGGAAGGGTTCCAAGATAAACCAGCTGTGGTGATAAAACCAGGCCAGCTGATTGGCTGATGATTCAGATGACCTCTACCTGACCAATCACAGACAACTATTCCCAATGCACCATTAGACACAGCAGCTCTTGTAGCATTGAAGATGTTGCTTACAGCTGCTTCAGGGCAGCCTCCAATACTGTCAAGCACAAAGTGTTTTGTCTTATCATTTTAAAAACTTCTGACATAGACAACTGTGACTTTTCCAAAATATCAGCTCATCTCAATCATGTTACAAACTCATTTTTTTGGGTGCCTTAAAGAACTGACATGTAACACTCAATGTCCTTCCAACTTACCTGTCCCAGGCTGCTGTTCCAGGGCATAGAATCAGTCCATGTCTGAAAGAATACACAAACAATGATGTACAAGTCCAGGTAAACTGGAGCACCAAAGCAAGAGTGGTGTAGGTATACATATCTGATCTTATAGTACTCAAGTAATTCTCAACAGCATTTCTTTTGTTCGTGCAATACAGCTTCATTGTGTCACATATACTTACCCTTCTTCTACAACGTCTTTGGAAAGTTTTTGGAAGTCATAGTCAGCCTGGAAGAAAAAGAAGGGAATATTGGAGGTAAGGTGGTGATAAGTCTGTGCATGACACATTTACATGATAATACAGATACATCATAAACCATAATCACTAGTCACTGCAAAAACCAAAATGACAGTGTATGGCACTTGTACATACTAAAGGAAGAGTGATGGAAAAGTGTAAGGGTGTTGCAATAGCTCAAATATATTGAATTTTCACCTCAGTGAAATACAAAGAACAACAGATAGTGCAATACAACACTGAAGTCCAAGTCTGTATGTATTTGTACACAAGTATGTTTGTTTGGGGTGAATCACATGCCAGGACAGTACTGAAGCCTGGCACCTCAAACACCCCATCTGACTCTCCCTGTCAGCCTGGGAGTTTGGACAAATCTCTCCTGTCCAACTCCATTTTCCTGCAGGTTAAAGGTCATGTAGGGACAGATGCTGCATGTGGTCAGCAGGATAGTACTGACCACCCGTCGAACATTTCCCACAATGTCTACCTGCCAAGCCTGGCACCCACACAAGGCACAGTCTGGGCTGGGGGAGGTTAGCAGGACGGGCCATGTAAAGCCCTAAGTTGGAGTTTCAAATACATCATTATTTTGCAGAATTATAGATAACCTATTGAATTAGATCTAGTTAATAAAAGAAACAACATCTATGGGTATAATGTGGATATCAAGACTCTAGGGAACGCACATCAGTTACATGTATATATGAGAAGATCTGTAGGTCTGAACTATCTTAGAAACATTAAGTTGGCCTTCCTCGCTGGCAAATATTGCTTGCAAAGTGCTTACCTTGTTTCCATACTCTGTAGCAATACAGCCCAAGGGAAGGCACTGAGCAAATCCTGCTACCCCCTCTCTACTGTTCACACACAACAAGGCAGTCTGGTGGTCTAGCACGGGGAGCTGGGGTAATGAGTCTGAGGTTGTAGGGGAATTCATCTATGGGAGAAAAAGAGACAAATGCTCATCAAACAAAACCTTATGTTCTGAATGGTATCAGTTCTATACACATGCATGCACTGTACACATGCAAGTACAGGCTCCATTCTGATTTTAGGACTGTTTGATTCATGTTAACACTCACCAGGGCGAACGTCTACACTTCTAGAATAAATAAAAATCTACCTACCTCATCTGCCAGGCGTTGTCTGGCATCTTCCAAAATTAATTCACTCAGCACTGGACCAAAATTGACATAACTGCAACAGAGATTAAACACTGGTAAAATGACAGCTTGCAACAGAGATATAAATAGCTAAAAAGGTCTCACATGTAGCATATACTCTATATACATGAACAGCACTTGGTCCTAAGGCATACCACATCTTTGCCCTAAGCACAAGGACCAGTCTGTTATTGTCAGTGACAAAGTGACTACATCAGCTGAATGCACCAGTACATCATCTACTGACCTGCAGGGTGGGAAAGCTCGGAGCCTCTTCCTACAGTGTGTGATGTATACAGACAGTGGAGAATCCTCCATGGTACTGTCCCCTATTATATCCATGGTAGGGACCAACATCATGTGTCTCCTCTGACAGTACTGTTGGATCTGGCACAGCTCACTGGGAAAAGAGGGGAGAGGATAAGTACAAATAGAATACTCAAATCTTCTAAAAAATGTTAAAGATTAAGTATAAAGTATCTGAAGCTGAATAAAAATTACCAAAGACAAGTGTTGGTCCTATACATAAGTTATCCATTGATTGAGAACTTTACAACTTTCACAAATGGCCAATACATAGAGTGTCAGGTACATTTTACATTATAGTCTTCCAAAAATCCTTACCTGGGACTATAAGGCTCTGGTACTGAACTGTTCACCTTGGTATATAGATGTACCTTGAGGAGAGATTGAAAAAAGTGATCATTGTGTTTTACACCCCTTATGTATTAAAGATGAACATAGTCTCTCACTTTGAGGTAAAAACATAACATAACCACATAAATAACACTAAATTAGGTGGCAGTTTTAAGTAAAGAGGGTATGTTACCTGGTTTATCTTCAGGAGAGCCAGTCTTCCTATTAGTTCTAATAGGTTCTCCTGCGTGAACAACAAAAGAGCTGAGTGACAAAGATTGGGGCATAGCCTACAATCTGAGAACAGTCTTGGTCACACAAAAGATGGTCAGAAATAAAACATAAAGTATTTATCACACTAAATGCATTAGAAGAAAAAGCATGGTTTTGAGCTTACCAGTTTGGGGACTCTTCCACTGCAAGTTTCTATGAGCAGTCCTCTATAACTGACATGTGGCCAGTCAGTGATCTGCAATAAAACAATACTCAATTCATTATGATCCTAAGAACCAAATACATGCAGACAAAACTGTAGCATGTGAATGTTACAGAAAGAGAGTACAAAAAAAAACAAAAACAAAGGCAACAGCATTTCCAGGTCAATGTCTGATTATTTAATCTATAATTCTAAAACTATCCAATATTGTTGTTCTAGAGATTCAAAACCACATAAATCACCTGTAGTGCAGGAATCCCCTGGTTATGGCACAGTTTAAGGAGCTGTAGAAACGTACACAAGGCATACCACAGGCCACAGGTGTCACTACCCAGTAGCAGAACCTGAAATAAGCGACTTCATGTTAAATTCATCTGAAACTTGTGGGCACTTGCAATGTACAAATACATACCAAACTATGACTAAGGTTCCATATTTTATACACATGAAAAACACACTGGCCTTACCCCGGTATGTTATGGTCCCTTTTTGACATTCAAAAGATTTGGAATGTTGTTTTTCCACATGTTTCCAATTGCTATGCAATGTCAGCACGTAAATGACCAACATGTCAACACTGCCAAAACCATACAGATGAAAATACACAAACACCCTGCTACCTTTCTGTGTGAGACTGTGATCTTGTAGCTGTTGCTCCTGTTACACAGTCTGTTGTTGACAAGGCACACGACCACCGGCGTCTCTGGGAAGTGCCTGGCAGGACCAGCAGACACTGAGTACTGGAGTCCCATCAGCTGGAGACTTGGCTGGAGGTTCTCCCACAGGGCCATAATGTCTCCCACATTCACTGTGTTTATACATTAATATGACATGCAGTCTGGTGGAGGCCTGGGACAAAGATTTGGTGGGTGCAGCAAAGCAAAAATGCTACCTACTTTCTAGCTTACAAGTTTGTCCTGACATTTCTTCAAGGAAGTTCTACGGTGTTGCTTGGTTTGTTGCTTTGTATACAAGATAACTTGTTTTTTTTTTCTGTAAGTAGGCCTTGTCCTGAGGAATAGATAAAAGAATTTTGGATGAGATTTGATACCAGATCATGTCCAGTGATGTTCTAGAGGACTTATAAGGCCTGATGAACTACACTTCACAATGTTAGCATAACCACCTACCCTGGTGAGGACCTTGGTCAACAAACACCTGCAGTTCTTCAGGAGGCCTCCAGGGGTCTCCCTCTCCCTGCGCCAGTCTCTGGGGCTGTGGCCACAGCAGGTGCAGTCTGGCGTCTGTCACCAGGGGGCTCCGGGGAGTAGACACATTGGTGGCCGACAACAGATGGCTTATCTGAGTAAAGGCAATTATTTTCTTATTTGAGATTTGCAAGTCTCCTTTACCTTGATGTAGCAGACTATGTACATGTATATCTAAGAGTTACTAGTAATAATTAAGTTGTAGAAAATTTGTTGTGGAGGAAAGGACGATCTAAAAATAACTTGCACAGCCACACTTTAGTCTAGAAGTGCCCATCATTAATTGTTTTCTACTTATCCTTACAAGGTAAAGTAGTCATCAAGGACTACTACATATTAATGTAGTCCTTATAATAGTTAAAGATATCACTGTCCAAGATATGATCACAAAGTCTTGAGAGGAGACATTTTATCTATGCATAAAGTTGGTGGTAAGCTATTCTAAAAAGCAGTACTGTTCATGTACAAAGTAAGACATAACTTGTCCACTCCCCTGACCTTATCTATAAGATGACTGTCCATTTGTAGGGAGTTGTCTGCACCCTCTGCCTCCATGTTGACAGGGATGGGGTTGGGTGGGATACGCTGGTCCTCTGACAATGTGCTGTCCTTCCTGCTTAACAAGGGAGGGGGCGCTTTCTTGTGCGCCAGGAGGTCTGGTGTAACGGGGTCTTCAATCTCAACACTCTCTGTTGGCATATGATGTGAAACAAACTTAGGCTTCTAAAAGTCATTGTATATGAGTCTAGACAACAGAAGTTAAAAACAAAGGGGTGGCAGTGTTAAAATACTTTTTCAGCCTTGTTTGTACAATGAGCAACTTTGGTAACACATTTAGCTTGTCTACTATCACATGGAAAGTGTTGTATGTTTCCCCTGTACCTGATGAGCTGTCCTCAGCCAGGGTTCCGTTAGCCAGAGCTTTACTGCTGTACTCCTGCAGCAGGGTGTACAGCTCTGAGGACGGGTCAGCTAGATCCAGGGCTCGCTTTCCTGTGTAACTCCTGCAAACAGGTGGAAAATATCACGAGCTTACTTTGTTCAAAAGGCAAAGCATATCTGTAACAAGTATATCTATAACTAGTGTAAGAGCTGTATGCACTACTATGTAGTAATAAAAAAAAAATTATTTCAATTTATCAACTCATCAGAAGACAACTAACAACCAATTCTGCATTTTTTATTGGATGTTAAGTTCAGTTTCAAGTGATCATGCTTTGCTCTACAGGAAGGTATCTTTACTTGTGTCACAATGTATGTTTCTGACATTTCCTACCCTTTAGTCCCCACCAAGAGTGGAGAGGCTCCATGTTCCAGCAGCTCCTGTACGATGTCCTCGTCTTTCCTCAGGACTGCATCATGGAGGGGCGTGGCACCCTTACTGTTACACAGGTTCACATCTGCTCCTCTGTCTGTTGCAGACAGACGCATGTGTCAGTAAATTCAGAGTCAATGCTCTTGATTTCTGAGCATGGTGAACAATCTATCACAACTGAGGAAAAATCGGGACATTCCTTAGCTCTCAAAAGTTGTGCAATTTCTCTTTTCTGAGAAAAATTGCCTTCTGACAGATTATTGCTAAACTCATATGAGAAAATGAAAAATTCCCCAAAATGCTTTCATCATTTCTCTAAGGCCTACTTACGAAACAGGAAATATTAAAACAAAAAAATGTGACTCCGACTTTGTTTACCAGACAAATCAACAACCATGAGATTAGTAAGAACAGCACATATGGCAAAAAACTGACCACAGAGGCACTGCACCATCTCATGGTTGGCGAAGGAAGCCGCCCAGTGCAGCGGGGTGTTCCTTCCCTCCACGGAGTCTCGCAGGTTAATGTTAACCCCTGCAGCAATCAGCTGACACACACGACCAACACTGGGGGAGGAAGAACAAACAGCAATGTAGAACATTTACAACAAAAGGGAATAACTCAAGTTTGCTTACAAGTAACTTACAAAAATACCACTCTTCATTACCATTTCATGACTTGGCTGGGACTGCAGTGGCCTTTGAAATGTCCTGTTAGTATCTTCACCACAAGTTACACAACTTTGCCATTTTTCTTATCCCCATTATTTCTGTTATGACTCAGTGACTCCTTGTCTTATCCTTTGCAAGCTATCAGGAAAGGTAGCTAGCAGAAAGTACAAAAAGGTCAAACAGACAGTGTTATAGAGGATACCCTATCATACTAAACACAAAATTCAACTGTATTGATCTATAGAAAGAGGGTCAAAGGTTACTTGGACTGAGCGATGGCCTGGAGCAGCTCCTCGTTGTACACATTGGTGACAGCCTGGGAGGGTGAAAGGTCAAAGGGCGTGTCCCCATTCCTGTCGTGGATGCCAGGGTCAGCACCAGCTGACAGCAGGGTGCGGATGATGTCAACACTACCTTGCTGAAAGACACCACAAATTAACATGACTGTACAAAAACTAAAGCAAAATTGCTTTCTCTCTCTCTCTCTCTCTCTCTAGAGTCTATCTTTCCCTCTTTTTCTCTCCTTCTTTTGTTTGTAAATTATCAACAATTTGCCTTCTTCAGTATGATTTCATTAAACATAGCCTAACAGTGACATAATTGAAGTTCTGATGAAGTTGCCTCACCTTAGTGGCCACATGCAGGAATGTCTGCTCCTCCTCATCCAGGTGATTCAGCAGCTTCTTCACCTGGATGTCTCCTTCATCTGCCTCCTCACCTTATCAAGTGCAACAACAAAACATGACATTAACAGGTGAGGCAAATAACTTTTTATCATGTTCCAAACACTCCTTCACAACTGAACCTGTATCAAGTGTAAACATTAACGTTATATTAAAACATAACTGAAAAGGCAGTGCTAACAACATTATACACATTGTGGCCATTTGTACTGTAGAGCCTTTTCCATGTCGCCAAAGCCCATCAGACCTGAATTCCCTTTGCCATGTTTCCTAACCATTTCAGCAGAACCTTCACATTCAATCATACCACTTGCAATGATTACTACGTATCATACTCATAATAATTATGCCACACGTTTACAGACTCATTCATGGTCATTATCCAACAAAACCTGTTGTAAAAAATGGCATTGTCATTGTACCCCCCCCCCCGGCTGATATTGAAGGGTGATAAGGGTGACGCCTTATTCAAATTGCCAACTTAATTACGGTTTAACATACCAATGGTCTTGTGGGGGGGGGCGTGTTTACAGTACTTATGGGACAGGGCATAACTTTTCAATATTTCAATAATCGTTACAGCCACAGGTTTCATGAACATCTACGGTATTACCAACAATGGAACAACATTGTTCATTTCTGGGAGACTGACAAAACGTAAGAAAGATGTGCAGACAAGATAAATAACTTGAAGGCTATCTTCCCAAAGTTTATAACCTACACTTGGCCGCCGCCGAAACGATCTCCCTCACGATGTCAGTTCTGTCGGCGTCTATGCCGGCCTGCAGGTTTTCCACGAACTCCTGCAGCATTCTTCGTTCCCTTTCCTTGGCTGTCAGATAAAACAACATCCAGTTTTCTGGGAAAATGTTATTTTAAGCCATATTCAAACTCCGAGCCGTAGAACCGGCTTTTGTAAACGTTGTTGGTGCCACATCGTCGCCGTAATCACTGTGTCCTCGGCAGGTCAGAGGTCAACAGGTACTTCCGGCGGGTACCTTTGACCCTTACCTCCATAATCTTCCGCACAGCCAAAAAAATGTACAAAACATATATGACATACCCGAAAACTAAATATTTGTATATGGTCCGTTTATTAATAATTCCTAAAATGTAGCAGTATGTGTCAATATTTTTTCACAATTTGTTCGACGTCCGAAAATAGTTCTGACCGGATATCGCGGAAGGAGGTGTTGTTCGGTCAACCTTCAGAAGTTTCTCACTGATGTAATACTGTAGTTTGAAGACAGGTACAACATGAGTCAACTTTTTCTCACCACAGCCAGGTTACTTCGGACGCAGGGGCGGCGATCGGCCTTCCTGCGGGCCCTGAGCAGTGAAGCGGCGGACACGGGCAGCCGCGAGCACATCGACGGGCTGGTAAAGAAGGACAAGGTGGTGGTTTTCATGAAGGGGGTTCCAGAGCAGCCCATGTGCGGCTTCAGTAACGCCGTGGTACAGATCTTCAGGATGCACGGAGTCGACAACTACTCCGCCTACAACGTCTTAGAAGACGAGAATCTTAGACAAGGTAAAAGTTTAAAGACGGATCTCTGGCATTTTGTTGTCTGGAAGGCAATGATTAGGTTCAAACTATAATCCAGCTGGATGACATGCCGTTATGCAAGGCAACGTCCTTGCGGTCATCCCAGGTCAGATTGGGCAGTACCAAATATGGGCTAGAGGTAGGGGTGTGTGTAAAATGATGACTATGTGGGTATGTAACAATGGAGCATAAGGTTTACAAATTACATGATCATGCTCTCTCGTCCATGATGGCTTGGTGGTCTGGTGTTCTTATTACAAACACAGAAAAATGTTATCATGAAAGTTCATCTGTTTTGGTAGATACATGTTACAGAAAAATGTTGTCTGGCAGAATGAATTAGAAATGGTGGAATGACCTTGTGTTCATGTGAAGGTGCCAACTGGCAGGTACCCTGCCAGCTCTATGTATGGTGGAATTTGACTATTTTGACAACTGTTTTTGCCATCAGGTATCAAGGACTACAGCAGCTGGCCGACCATCCCACAAGTCTTCCTGAGTGGTGAGTTTGTGGGCGGCTGTGACATCTTGCTGCAGATGCACCAGAACGGAGACCTGGTGGAGGAACTGCAGAAAGTCGGCATCAGGTCGGCTCTGTTGGACAAACAACCAGACTCAGACAAGGACAAACAATAAAATGGACATGTGGACCTCATTCTAATGTCTCCTGGCAGAATCAGGAGTGGCATCATCCCAGATATGGACTCAAACATAAAAAATTTAAAGAAGTGAGGACAGCCATTTAGGAGTCATTATAGCAACCATGTGATGTCAAGCCTTGCCTCCACAAAAACAAGCCAGGCGCAGCAGCATTTTCCTAGCCCAACATCCAGCCATGTTCAGCTTGTGTTTTCTTCCAAACAAGGTAGAGGGAATTTACTTGGACACTAGCCAAACATGGATGGATCTCAGACAAGTATTTTCATGTTATATGTATTCAATTTTCATTAAAGGCAATATATAAATGTTCTAATGGTTTACTGGAGCTCGAACAGACAAGTGTACCATTCACATTTACATAAAAGATACATGTATGCAGAAAATATTGAGGGTGACAGTTGTGATTTTCCAATCTTACTACATGTACTATTAGTATTAGTTTGTGCTTATTTTAAAACAGTAGGTGATTACCTGGCCTGTGATAGGTTTGTAAATATTAAACTGAAACTTTCATGCTAACTTGTGTGTTACACTGTACCCTGTAATTAACTTTCCTTATATCTGGTGCATCTGAGCACACTTTGTACATGTATCTTTACTTTCTCCTCACTGTCTTTCAGTTATCCTAGACTTTATGGGGGAAAGTCCCATAAGATCTGAATAGGTTTACCTCTTTAAACAGAAAGGTAATTCTAAAGCTGCCTTGTATGTTGCACTAGTCAGTTGCAGTTAGCTGTTACATTGATATTACAATGGAAGTGATTATACAGAAACATGCAGTTTGATTTGGTTTGGTCACATGGACAATACATTTGAATTTGAAGTTGAACCATACAACTGGTGAACTGTCATACCTATGTAGGACCCCATGTAGTATAGGGAAATGCAGGGTGGGTTGGAAACTGAAGTTTTGGTCACTGAACACACCAAGGTATACCCCTCCTCTTCTTAAGGTATGTATGTGCTCAAGGTGGTTTGTTGTCAAGTATATTAAAAATTTAAAGGTGTGCAATATGGTCTCTGAGGGACTGCAATTCCTGCCTGTAGCATACAGAACTGGGATTACAATTCCATCATGCAGGGTGAAATTTAAGCTCCTAGGCCAGAAGAAGGATTACTATTCACTGGAGGGTGAAGAAATGCAAATATGCAGTCAGACTTTTAGTCTGCTTTTCTACAGGTTGTTTAATATGGTATTGCCACTGCACTATGTTGGTCAAGTGTGATAGGAATCATTCATTTCCAACTGTGTTTACAGAAAGTTACAGACGTGTATACTAAACAACCTGTAGCTGCATGGTTCTGACGGCATGACTATGCAATATTTTGCCTGTGCTATCCAGGTTTATGCACTGTTTGTTTTTGCAAAGTATTTTATGAAAACGTTTGGTGCTAATATTGTGGGATCAATGTGTAGTAAAATCAAATTAAACTCCAAAGGCTGTGCTGGGTGATTCTAATAAACATATCTAATCATTATTCATTTAAGGTTGCAGTTTCCTACTACATGTACTATGGAATGGGGTTAGATGCAGCTTTATTGATAATACCAATAATAGCCATATACAGTATATTATTAAAATTAGAAGATACACATGTATAATGAAAGGTGACTACTAGTATATGTTCCTGTGTGTTTTACGTTATATGTATTTGGGAACGTGAGACACAAAGGCACAACCACATTCCCAGCAACAATCCGCCAGAGGTAACGTTACAAGTTATAGCCCTGGATTCAAAGGTCATTGAACCAGTCAATGACGTATTCACAGGGACATTTCGCGCTTTGCATAAATAATACAGGAGAGGGGCTGCAATAATATTCATAATCGCCAGGAGGCTCTTCAAGCATTCGATTGACAGATGACTGAACTGAACCGGTAACGTTACCTCTCTAAAGCTGGATCGGCAGAAGGGAAGAGCAAGCGCGAAGCAGTCTAATTTATTGCAAAATTAGTCACTGTACTTGTAGATTAGACTCAATCCACCACCTAACGCCAAGTTTTCAGTGACACAGACGCGTGACAGCCGGGAAAAGGTGAGTCCAGCCTTCGTTCGTTGGCCTTCGTTTTTTTGTGAGAACAACGGGGCTTTTAGTGTGATCAAGGAAATTCTATTTCGGCATCTCCCTTGAATTGGCATCAGTATTATCGTAGGCTGGTGAAGCTAGCCTTGCACAGGGACCTGCATCATCTTGGTTATTTTATAACGGCAATCAAGCTTGCGGTCATCGAGGCAAGACATTTAATTAATACGATGTGCACTTATCACAGTAAATCCGAGGGGAACGCGGTATCGGGCGGTATCAGCCATCCATGTTGTCAAAGTGGAGGTTCATTATAAACATCACTCACTAAAAACATGGAGGTAGAGAAATCACACGTGTTTCTACCTCCAATGTGGTTCCAGAAATCAAACCAAAATGATTTTGTGACATGTTCCTTTGTGTATGTATTTCAACCAGTCAAATTCAACATTGAATCATCTGTGATACTTAAGTGAAAAAAACTCAGATTTGAAGAGCAAATTTTATTGTTGAAAGGTCTCTAAAAACAATGTACTAGTACTTAGCTGCATATAGCAACTGCAATGCTGATCATACCCTTCATTACCCACCCTACCAGCCAGACAAGAACCCATCACCATGCCACACCGACCTGTCCAGAATTCCGAGGTCCAAATCCACGTGCCAGATACCACCCAGAAACCCAACTTCCCCCAGCGGATATCAAACTTTGTTCGTGACAAGGGCAACATCAGTTTGATCATCACCTTCGTGGTGACCACCATCGCCCTGACGCTGTTCCTGCTGGTCCAGGATGTGTCCGGGAGACAGGTGGTCAGCTACTTCCTGTCCGGAGGGCTGTTTGGGTTTGCAGGCGGCTTTACCAACTGGTTGGCTGTGGTCATGCTGTTCACCAGGATCCCAGGGGTGTATGGGAGTGGGTAGGTACTAGTAAGGCCAAAAGGCCTTGTACGTACCCTGGTGGTATACCGTGTTCAGCTTTAGCCTTAAGTTACCAGCCAAATTCAAAAGCACAGAATTTTAGTGGTAGAAAACAGAACTCATTATATTTCAAACTAAGAAAGGTAGGTGTGTTTCTTTCTTCTGAAAACATATGTTGATGTTTGTTTGCTATCATTACTTTTCATTACTGTACAGTATACCAATTACAGTATACTGCATCCATATATATATAGAAATGTTGGTTTCTATTTTATTTATTGCTATGTGCCATTGGTGGCCATTGGTGAAAGGAAAAAAGAAGTTCTAATGGACATTGTATTGGATTTTTTCATATTCATTTATATGTACATTATATTTATACTATTGTTGCCATCATGGTGCAGTATGAAAAATTTTCATGGTTTACTAATGAACTGGGGTTGGGCAGGCCTAAAATGGAATACAATTTGTAAATTTTTTTCACCATGACAAAAATTCAGCTCTCACAAGGAGCTAGACAGAAAATGCAACTTGATTGAGACAGAAGAAAATGAATGCATGTCCATCTCTACCTTGGAAGTAAATGTTGCACCAGAATTTTCACACTACCCTTCCTTGTGCCTTAAGGTTGAAAGATGTTTTTCTGTCCTTGTTCCAGCGTGATTCCGAACCGTTACCGTGAGATCCGTGCTAAGGTGAAGGAGGTGATTATGGAGATGTTTTTTGACGAGGAGTTTCTGGAGAAGTACCTGTCCCACAAACTCATGGAGGTCGCCAACAACGTCGACATGAAGGCCAAGGTCGGCGAGATCGTCCACTCCAAGACTGTGGACCGACTCATTGGTAAGACGGGGGGGATTTGTCAACAGAAGTGGCACAACTGCCCTTCTGCATCACAGAACTCCCCTGCTGGCCTCACAGGTCGACAGTATTTCCAGTGTGAGCAGTTCAATTTAAAGGGTTTTCTACCGTCTATGTGTAATGTGTGGAAGAACAAATATTAAAACAGTTCAATCACGAATTGATCAAAGAATTTATCATAATATGGAACAAAATCCTTGGCATGATGACAAGCATGTTGTTAGTGCCATTGCCAAGTAGTGGAGGTTTGTGTACTTAGTTCTTGTTGAATGTTGTGACAGATGAGAAGCTGGCATCTCTGGGCACCACTCCTGAAGGACAGCTCATCCTGAAGATGGGCGTGGACCCAAAGTCCCTCAAACCCATGATCAAACCCTTCCTGCAGGGATTTGGAGAAGACCTGGCCCCCATGATCAAGGAAACACTTAGTGATCCCATGCAGGTAAGGCACTCATTGGGCAGTTCAAACCTCTCTTAACTTGGTTCAAACCTCTCTTAACTTGGTTCAAATGAATTAAGGGGGAGGAGAAGTTAGGTAGAAAGATATTCTTCTTTGAAAATTTCTTGTAAAAGAAGTATGCGTAAGAAATGGTACAATTTCTTATCTTTTTTCAGGTCATTGATGTGAGCAAGCTACGCAAAGAAATGGAGAAGTACATGAACTCTCGCATGGAGACTCTGACGGAACAGCGTGTCACGTCTCTGCTGGAGGCCGTCATCCGACCGCATCTCGGCTGGATCATCGTGTGGGGCTGCGTGTTTGGAGGGCTGATCGGGATTATCACACAAGCCGTGGGACTGGCACCAAGTTACTAAACATCCCTACTTCTTACACAAGTGTGCAATGTGCTAAGGATGGTGGATCTGCAAAACTGAAAATTCAATGGGCATCTCTATCAATGTCCATGTTTTATTATAGCATCATCATTATACTTATGGCATAGTGTTCTTTAAGAGCTGCTGTATGGACCTGTAACTAACTTTCCAACCATCCATGCTTCCTACACTGTTGTGCAATACCATTGTGTTAATGTGCAATACGGCCATGCTATTTTTTTTGCTGTATCTTTGTAACACCTTGTCCTGACACCTGTAGTAACAGAACATTATATGGTTGCATGGAAATCTACATTCCTACTAGACACTGTCTGTAAAAAGAAGGGAAATTTTTGGGAGGGAGAAATGGAAAAATGTAGAAAATGCTGCTTAGTAGAGAGAAAAACTAGGTACGATAGCAAGAAAAGAAACTAAATTTCACAAAATACTTACCAATATTTTCATGCACAATCCCTTCAGTCTATCTGCTCTTCCCCCTAACTGGTTAACAGTGTTGTAGTGAATGAAATAAATATTATATAATCGTTCCTAATAGTATATATGAGGTCACACACCCCATGAACGAGTATGCTAACAGTCATCTTTGACAACGAAGAACAGACAGAGAATAGTATATATTATAGATGAAGCACAAAAGCCACAATGCTGCATTTGCTAGAACTTTATTATAGATATCTGCATCAAAAGGTTAATAGTATGTATGATTATTATATGTATATATAGAACTAATCTGGCTGTACATAAACATGCTTCTGCTTTGACTATACAAATAAATAATCTAATTATATTAACCACAAAGATTTGAACTCCACTTTGTATGACATTCATACTGTACTTAATAAATACATGTAATGACCTAGGGTATATTCCATGAACGTAAGAATTAGAATATGTTGAAGATGTTTGTCCTAAGCCCAAGGATTACCATCCAGGATTACTTGACTGAACCAGTCATCTTCAAGTACAGGTGCTTCAACCTAGGGACATAGGAGTAGTTTCTTTAGACATGGCTGCTTTCAAGTTGAATATTTGATTAAATGGATCCCCACCTTGCCCTATTTTTAGAAGTCAAGAAACATTTATGTAACAGAAGCAACTACTCAATAGTGATAGATATAGATAGATATAAAAGGCCTCACCTTGTCTGAGTTGAAAGTTGTTTCTCCATCATCACGACAGACATCAGCTGCTGCCATGCCATCAGAACTCTCCTGTGGTAGACCATCTAGAAGTCCCACAGAGTCAGTAAAGCCAGGGCTGGTCCAGTCTTCATCCTAATAAGGAAAAGTAATGTCAACAGAAATCTCTATTTTGTCATTAATGCATTATAATATATATGTTCTTTCAAGGAGGTTGAAGATAGAGGTTCTTTAACCACTTACGTTGCTTACTTATACTCTGACATCTGCAAACATGATCACATACGTGTGGATAGGATTCTTCCAACAGCAGTTTGTAAAATTGAGATGATGAGCTGATGTAAGCCCTGGCTTGTACCAGTATCTGAGAGTGAAGTTCCATGGCTGGATCCAAGACAGGTTCAGAACTTGAGGGTTCCGTACAGGCTGCTACTCTGGGAACTGCTGACTGTTGGTGATCTGAGGATGTACAGGAGTTCTGAAGTGGAGCTGATGCTGATGCTACTGCTCCAACATTAGGAACAATCTGCAAAATTTGGAGGTTAACAAGCTGTAATGTATGTGTAAACATTTAATGAGATTACTGCAATAGAAAAACATTTCTCAGACAATATGAACAATCCATTATAATACAAATGTATATCATGAGAGCAAGGTGGCACAAGCTTACTGGATATGTGCTGATAATATGTTAAACCTGATACCGGATGATGATGATGATGATGAATGGTTTATTGACATACAAATCCATCGCAGCCCGCAGGCTGAATTGCGGATTCCGATTACAAATATTTTCAGAGTTCAATTCAAAATAAAACAATGGGTCAATTATCATATATGTATAAAAGGAATAACGTTGATGACTAAAATTTAGCATTTATACAATAATACGATTATCAGACGGCATTAAAAGCTTAATCCTTAAAAACATTAACTATTTGATTAAGTATTTAAAAGGCGAACAATGTACGCTATTGGGGAGTTCCTGAGTCGATCAGTCCTACATTTAATTGGTCGATACTTGTCTCTGTTTCTGGTTGTTCTATCGTGGTAGTCCGAACCCTTTGGTGGCAGCATTGACGGTGTGTGGGATTCTAAATGAGTCCCGAACTTGAGACACAGTTTCTGCCGGCGGTCTGAGAGCAACGGAAGGTTTAAGTCTGTTCTGCCTTGCTCGTAGCTAGTGAAACGCCTTCCCAGTATTGTCCGAACCGCTCTCCGTTGTACAGCTTCGAGTTTGTCCGACTGTGCACAGGTGAGCCCCGGGTGCCAGACTGGCGCGCAGTATTCCAACACTGGTCGTACGAAGGATGTGTATATAGTGACGAGGTCTACGGTGGGAAGATTGAAGTGTTTGAGTTTCCGTAGGAAGAAGAGGCGTCCGTTAGCCTTTCCTATCATTCTAGTAACCTGCGTCTCCCATTTCAAGTCTCTCTGCAGCCACACCCCCAGAAGACAGGTGAGTGGCACAACTTCAAGGGGGGATCCATTGATGGTGAGCGTTGGTGGTGGGGGCGGGCATCTCATGAAGCAGAAAGTGATAACCTTGCACTTGTCTGGGTTAAGTACCATGTGGTTGTTCCGACACCAGCTAGTGAAACTGTCCAGTTCATCCTGCATTAGCGACGGCTTGAGGTAGTGGCGAGATTCTGTCATAGACAGATCATCAACATACTTCCAGTGGTGAAGCAGTGCGTCCCTCATGGCATCATCGAACACTACGAGGAAAATTAACGGACCAAGAAGTGTTCCTTGCGGCACTGAGCAGGTCAGTACCTCCCAGTCAGATAGCTGTCCTCCATAACAAACTCTTTGCCGCCGCTGGGTTAGAAAGTCGCAGACCCACTGGATTAGACTCCCCCTTACTCCAAGTCGTAACAGCTTCTGAATGGCCAACGTGTGGTCCATCCTGTCGTAGGCCTTCGAGAAGTCTGTCATGACCATTGTGCAAATGTTCTTGGCCTTTTCAGATTCCTTGCAGAGAAAGTCTAGTAGGCTGACCAGATACATTGTTGTAGAGCGGCCTTTCAAGCAGCCAAACTGCTGTGTGTCCAGTGAGGTACGTACATCTTGTAAGATCCATGTAGAGACGAAGGATTCAGCAACCTTGGCAAGCTGAGAGGTAAGAGAGACTGGTCTAAGCTTGTCGTAAGTGAAACAAATCAAGTGGAGTGGTTTGTCATTCATGCAATTCTTTTTAATGACTGTGACAGAGACAAAAGTAGAGCATGTCTACCTGGCTGTCCCTGACACTGTCTGGTGGAGTGACCTGGTACTTGTCAGCAGCGATGTCCCAGAGTCTGGCAGACACAGCGGTGGCCAGCTGTCTGCTGTCCTCCACCTGCATACAAATATATTTGGTGAATCATCTTTAATGAGTCTTTTTCTTACACAGATAAACTGATTTGTAATATTTCAGCAAAGCACCTGTTCCTAAAGCTTTTGATTATAGCATGTCTGGGGAGATAGGAAGCAAGGGAGAACGCAAATAAACACTGGAAGTAAGCACTGGATTACAATTAAGTTTCCCCGTACCTGGACAGCAGCAAAGCACCTGTTCCTGAAGCCATCATCAGTGCTGTACCGCAGGACAGTCTGCATTGCGTCAGCAATGTGGGGAATAGCCTTTTCCATAACTTCTTGTTTCTGAAAGAGTAGAAACGTACAGTTCTCATCATTCTACTCCTCTTTATGGCTGTACTTACAGCACTAACTGCCTATGTACATACTCCTGGAATGATATGATATTCCAGAAATACCAATGGATGTCATTTCAGCACCAAGGGCAGAGTTGTTCTGTTGTTGAAAAATAAAGTGGTTACATGGTTTTATTCTGGACATGCTTCTGTATGAATGAGAATGTTAAGTGTCACCTCTCTCTGGTCAGCATGGTTGTTCAGCACCTTGTTCAGGGCACTGTGGGCAGCTCTGGAGAACTTCACCCTCTGGTCTGTGCCCAGCTGACCAAGCTCTCTCCTCAGCACAGACAACAGATCTGCAAACACAGTGTAGGACACATGGAAGGGATGATGTGACAAGTTCTTATGCCAGAAATATTTGCCTTGTCTAGGAAAGTACATTCACAATTCTAGCTTGTAGTTGCTTTTGTCGTGTTCACCAACCAAGTAATACACCAAGATACTAACTAAAATGGCAGCCATTCCATGCATGAACTAAAGGTTAACCTGTAACAACCAGCCTTACCTATTTGCTGGGAGGTGGTGAGGACAGACATGCTGGGCAGCTCCAGGAGCAGGAACAGTTGTAACACATGAGACAGGCCCTGTCCTTCACCCTGACTCTGGATTGCTGTTGCTGTTGAGGCTGTCTCCAGTTGGAAGGTACAGTCTGGCCAGGCAACACCTTTGAACACAGCAGACAAATCAAAAACACACATCAAGGTATCACTCAGACCTAAAGGTGTATAAATGTGTGTATGAACTTTTATAACTGACTTATGGTTCATTAGGTTTTCTGTATTCTTTTCATCCTGTGTCTGTTATCATGGGACCTATAAGAAGGCCATAGGAACAAGTCATAACTTCTGATATAGTTTAGAAAAAAATAACCGGAAAAAACACTACAGGCAAATAGGTCTGGTGGGTTTGAACAGAAGTCTTGTAATGCTCATTACCTTCTTGTTTACTATGAGTTAGCTCCCCAGCCAGCCTGAGTCCATAGTCCTCCCACCTGACCAGGTGAGACACAGGCAGGGGACATTTCTCGTGGAAGAACAAGGGCAAACCTGCTGGACCATAGGTGTAGAGCTAGGCATGGAGTGACATAGATGGAAAATATTCAAGCTAAAGATATTGATGTCTCAGTTTCTTTTTATTCTTATTTTGCCTATTTTGTTAATTTTCATGCCTTTAAGACCAGTAGAATCCAGCCCAAAACTTGAAATTAAAGAGATTAAATTGGTATAATAGCGAGAAGGTAGACCACACCTGAACAGACCTGCACCAGTGGTTAGACAGGAGTGTCCTGTCTACAGGCGGGGTGACAGCTGCTGACACACACAGCTGTACTCTGACCTCTGTACTGTCAGACAGCCTGATAGGTGACAGCATCACTCTGGAACCTGCCCGGGGTCGAATCCTCTTCTCCCAGTCTGGGACCTCAGCAGGACTGAATCAGGGACACAAAGGGCAGAGCTATATTCTATGTTTATATGAAGATGATACATATAACAAGTCAACATTGCTTGTAAGGTTTTTACATCAAATGGTAACCTAATTTTAAGTTCTATGCAATGGCAATTACTGTTGTAAATTACGTGATATCATTAATAAATTCTTATGCAGTCAAATGTATGATTTCATATATAGGTTTTGCTTAGACTGGCACTCTTTCATAGACTCAAGACAATGGAAGTTGTAGCCTACTTACCACAGGTAATGATCAATGGCAGTTAGTAGTTTCCTCTGTCCAATGGATGTCCTGAAACTGCTTATGTTTGGCCTAAAATAAAGGTTGATATTTTGTGTAATACACATGTATACTTGTAGACACTGATGTAATACAATTAAATTATTGTCTTCGTCAGAAGGACTATGAAATTGTCTCGCCGGAGTGTGGGGAACTGCGGATTTTGCGATATAACTCTGGAAGGCATGATTCGACGTCCATGATTTTTGGCAGGCATATTACCGCTGTTGAGGCCAAAGTCAAGTACAAGTTTCGGCTTCGTGGGGGGTCCGTGCGTCACGTTAGTGCACCTTTTGTGTTTGTGGCCTGTTAGCAAGATAACTCAAGTATTTGTAAAATGTTGATTATAATTCTTGGTGTGGTGCTTACTATTGTCGGGACCAAGGTTAAGTTTGTTACTGAGCTTCGTGGGGGGTTTCGTTGTGACTACAGGGGGCATTTTGTTAATTTTTCTTGTGAGCAGGATAACTTTTGTATGTGTGGATGGAAGTTAATGAAATTTGATAGGCATATTACTGTCGTGGTCTCCAAGATTGAGTTCAAAGATGAGAGTCGTGGAGGTCGTTATGTCCCCGTAATAGGACCTTTTGTGTTTAGAAATCCCCCACCTACATCTGCTTGGAGACAGCCGACAGCTGGATATAGCCGGGGAACCCCATAATGGGATGGGATCAAATGACGTTACATTGAGGGATTGTACTATAACTTCAGCAGGGGGAGGATAGGTTGGACATATGTCAGGTTATTTTCTACGGCCACACCAAGTAATTGCTATGGATGACGTCCACTGGAGACCTTAAATCTAATTACCTTAAATTTAAGGCAAGCGCGCAATAAAAACACGAAGGGCCGAAAAACGAGGTGCCTAGATTTGGAATATACTAACTGTAGAAGTACAAATGTTAGGACACAAAGAACACAAGAAACAAGTCTTCTATTTGTCATAAAGACAAATTAACAAAACAGCAGTAGTCACCCTGTTCTGATTCTTTCCTTTATAACATCTTCTCTTATTACATTTTGACACTTTCAACACAGTAAGAATTTCTTGAACGTTTTTTTTTCCCAGTAACAGTCCAAACTCAAATAACGTAGGGGGGGGGGCGCTAACACGGGTGACGACGCATCTGTATAATCTGCGGCAAACCGTTTCAGGGTGTTCTGTACCATAAAAATAGTACAGAGATTCTTTTGTTCTTTAGACCAAATTGATTATTAAAAAGAGTGAAGAATACGCATGTTAATTTCTCTAGAACGATGTACCTCTGACGAAGACATGAGATCTCCGACCTCTAGTTTTTTTTGACAAGAAGGTTGCTACTACTTACAGGTACTCCACTTTTGATGGCTGTTCATCCAAACTAAGCTGGTACTCCAGAGAAACCTGTGGCACAAGTCAGAACACAGTCTTCATTCTACCTGTCAGTAAATCCCCACATGCAGCCTTGCCTTAGACCTTAGGTCCTCATGTGCTTACAGGCACATTTGGTGGCAAGTTTCCATACAGCAAGGTGAAATAGCATGTAGAAACCTTTAAAACTGATCATACTTTATCACCATGAGTTAATGACATAAATAAAGAAAATGCATTGATATCATTCAAAATATGATATAGCAATGTCAGCTACCTCTGGACACAGTAAATGAATCCTTTGGAAGAAGGCAGAGGTGGCCTGACACTCTGACAGCATGCTCATCCTGCTGTACAAAACCTGTGCAAGGAAACAAGTGAAAAACTGTGTGGTGATACTTGTAGAAACAGAAAAGCATAACAGAAACTCAATTTAGTCACTGTACTTTTTATGCCAGAGACACATTTCTTCTTCACTGGAGTAAAAAAAAAGAAGAGCGATTGCAGGACCTGAGTGTGATACCGAGATGAAATGGAAAACAGCAGCCAGGGTTAACGTTAGTTGAAGGACATTAATTGTAAAGCACCTTGAACTGCAGAGAAAATCCCTGCCATCCTGAAGGCACTTTCTTGGTGATTTCTCTCACAGAGACATCCTCAGGGCCCGCCCCCAGGGTAGCGATACATCTGTGTGTCCTGCCCTGTTCACCCACCAGATCTGACCACAGACAGTACTCCTCTGGGCTGTAGGCCTGAGAATGAACCACCACCCTATACAGCCTGTCTGAAGGACAAATTAAACATTGAATCATTCCTTTGTACAAAGTTTGTAGAGATGCTTTACATTAACATTATATGAATACAAGTAACTTCCTCAACTTAGTAGGTAAGTGGAGAAATTAAGAATTCTTCTTCTACAACCTAGAGTTTCTAAACTTCCAAAGTTGCCTTTGCAGAGATGCTTTATATAGATGCTGAGGTTTTTAAAAAGTAGGAACATGTTCTTCTTTAGCCATCCAGATTATTAAACATTGATGGCATGAAAAAAATTTGTTTGGTCTTGATTACCTGTCACAAAATTCTTGAGATGAAGATGAGTAACCCAGGATCCAGTCATGGCAGCTGTAGGAGGACAGGAAAGCCATGCAACTGACATTTCACAAGAAATTGTACCAACAATTGTCACAGAACCCCATCTTTGAAAAATTTTACTGACAGTAACAATGTAGAAGACTGTATGAAACAGCTTTCATGCCATACAGGCCAATAATCTTTACATAAATTTTTAACATGGTATCTGCTGTGCGAGAAGAAAGATTTCCTCAGTGGGCCTTTATACCTCTGATGATAAACCACATCAAGTCTGTCCCCTGGTGTCTGGGTTCATCTGACTGTAGGAACACTTGTACAGACAACTGATCTGTCCTGGCTGAGAGGAGCTGATTATATCTGCTCTGCTGATCTTGCCTTATGATTATCACTTGTTCCACCATCTATGAAATTAAGAGAACATATTGAGGATAAGACTGGATCCTGGATTAGAATAATGTTTCGTTGAAAGAAAAAAACATCAACTAGGATTAAAGCGAGAAGAAATATTGATTTTAAGAACAAGGAAATTACATGACAGACTTGTACAAGTATCATACAAGTCCATGGACAGTGAAGTCGCACTTGTTTACACAACAGCCCCATAGACTGTACACAATTTTCATTGATACCACAATGATTATTGTGACTATTATATGTATCTTATATATTATCTTACAGCGTGAATTTTTGTCGCTACCCTTACTCATGCCATCGTCTTACCTTCATCACGGCCTCCAACAGAGCATGAGGTGGTAGTATCTTGGGTTCTTCCATGTTGTTGTCTCTTAGGTCAACTTTGATCTTGGAAGTTATGAAATCATAAAACTAAAACTTCAGTCAAGGTATTCTCTCACCTCCAGCTTCTATCAAGTACACCATGATTAATTATTTGTGAATTCATAAATACAAAGTACAAATGTAGCTGTAATCACGTTTATACTACATGTTACTTTTAGTAGGAGGTTTAAGTGAGACACCCTTTGTTGTTAGAAATCACGTTAATGTTAAAGTTAAGTTATATGTAAAATCATTACTTAGAGGTCTCCTCGACTTTAACGTCCTTGCCGTGAATCAGAATTCTATATAAGCCAAACCTTCGGTATTTCAAGTCGTTGTAGTACATATTCTTGATATTCGCAAATGGCAACTAACAGCTCACACCTCACAGGTTTGTAAACACAAAACGTCGTCTGCTTGAGACTGAAAAAAGAATTTTCTGAGTAAACCGCTATCCTATCGGTACCTTCCGCGAGTCTGCCGCTCCCCTTCAATGCCTCTCGCTCTCTGTTGAAGGGAAATGTTCCTCGAGAAATTTAAAGCCGAGCACGCAATTCTGCTCAATATTTTTTATCGTATCCTACAAGAAGGCGACGGAAACTTTTCAACTTTGCCGCCATCTTTACTCTGCGCTACTCTGCGCAGACCGGCTGCGCAACGGGGAGGTAGGCGTGGCACTATCACGTGACCTTGTTTCCTCTACAAAAGGCGGTAATTTCAAATCAAATATAAGACTTTATTGATCTCAAGCTCGTTTTAATGTCAGATTTCAGCATGTTTATATGCATTCTTACTTTATGATTTTTTTGTTTAAAATAAACATCAGATACCGTTATAAAATGAAGCTTTTAGTTACTCCATTTAGGGCATTTGTTTTATATTCATTGATTTTTGACACATTGACTGGGAGCTTCCATGGATCTTTGAAAATACATTTTCTAACATCACAATAATGAATAAAGTAGTATGTGTGGCCCATGCATTTTTCATAAACATTTAACTGTAAGTACACACTACCAGTAATGTATTTTCACTAACAACTATGCACAAAATGACTTGTCAAGTTATTCTTTTCACTTATTGTAGACATATTCCAATTTATTGTACAGCTTGCATCTGAATCCTCATAAGTAGGTAACCTGATCCACTTGTCACCCACCAATGTGCTACAACCCTGTAGTACATTACACTAGCCTAAACCTGCATCTTCAAAATATACCCAACCCAAGTATCAGTTACTATTACATTGCTCTTACTTGAAGTTGAGGATATGAATCTAACTTCATGCAGGGCCACTTTTAAACTATGGGTTTGATCAAGTTATAAGTATACTAAATTTTTTTTGTCTTCCCTTACAGGTGTCTAGAAATACATCTGTACCTATGGTTGTAGCCTGTCCTATATAGGTACATTTATACCTGAAGATTCCAACTTTGTGGTGGGTTTGCAAAAAACTATGGAAATTAATGAACATTGATGTACATCATGGCTTTCGGTTCTGCTTCATATGGGGTTTTCAAAAGGGTTGCAACTTGCAAGCCAACCTAGATCTTACATCTGAAAACTTTCCAAGTCTCTAACTTTTGCAGATGTGTGACTGATAAATGTTGATGGGTTTGGATTAAGATATGTTGTAAATTGGAAGCGGCAAGCTTTTCTGTCAATTTGAGATAGCTCACAAGAGTTTGTGTGTTATTACCACATGAGGGACATTCAAGCTATCATAGTAAGATTTCTGGAGTCTTTGGTGCCACCAAAGAACCTAATATTTCAGTAGCAGCTATGAAACAAACTCAAAGATGAATAGCAAAGCCAAATAGTTTGGGTCAAGATCACATCAAGCTTTATTGTGGTTCTTGAACATTTTACTAATGTCCCCTCCGCAGCACAATCTGAAAGACAAAATGGACAATGGTCAGTTGTTGATTTATAAGACAAGTGTTAAAAAGTGTTATGTTCTGGTTAAAGTAGTTAACTGTATACCTATCTATACTACTTTTTATTTGCTACAACTGTGACCAAATTTACAATGTATCCTAATATGCAACCTAAGCATGTTGAGATCTTACAGTTGAACAAGAAAACCACATGTTGTACTCTACTACCGAATCATCAGGGACACTTTGCATCGATACTATCTTTAATGGGAAATTGAAGTTTGAGAACAACTAACTATAAATTCACTACATTCAAAAGGAAGAGACAAAGATGATTTAGTCCTCCTTTCTTGTCAAACTTAGTAAGCGTTGATGGCAAAGAAAATATACCTACTTTACTCATCTGTGTCTTTGGTCGCTCTCGTGTAGATGACCTGGGCAGAATGCTTGGAAACAAGTTTGATCATACCTGCAGGACAAAGGTGTTAATACAGGTGAATGCACATTACTGGCATAGATATCTACAGCTGCTAAGTAACTTGAGTTTCATTCAGTTTTAATGCCTGAGCAAAAGCACAAAGAGATGAGTAGGGATTGGCTTTTCAAACAATATGGAACTTAACATTCTAGTTGCAAATCATTCTTTCAAAATACTTTAGTATACAAATTTATCTTAATGATTTACTGAATATGTTTTTTCATGGGTTTCCAAACACATAATAGTGAATATGCAAATGAAGACCCAAATGCTAGTTGCTTCACAAAGGTCTTAAGACAGGTTTTCAAGATTTGATATCCTTTGTACCTTTGCTGTGGAGTTCCTTGAGAGCTGCCCTTGCCAGAGACCCACGGATTTTCAATCTCTCGGATACAACTGAAGGTGTGATGAGTTTGTAGCTGGGAACCTCCTTGTAAAGCTTGTCGTATGTGGCCTTGTCGAAAAGGACAAGGTTGTTGAGCTTGTCACGAACCTAACAGAAAAGACAATGAACAGAAAGGTTACACTAATAATTGACATAATGGCATAATGCATATTTTCCCAAATGAACATTCAGAATCTTGATAAACCTTTCTTTGTACATGTATGTGTCAATGAATTCTACCAGTAATATTTTGCAGATTAGATGCAGTTGTTATGCAGTTGTCTACCTGCACCTAATCTGTACCTGTCCATATATGGGATGGACTTTTGTATACAATACTGTACTGATTGTTAGATGTTACCTCCTGCCATACCAAAAGGACTTCCAGTTAGAACATTAGATTTTTTTTTTTTAAATTCCTTTTCTGGGAGTGTGGTCTTGCAGTAGTGCAGGTATAAATTGTGCATTACATGTTACCGGGTACCCCTTTTCTTTGTGTATGTTCCATCAATAAGACAGGAGAAATAACAGTGATATTGTAGTTGTCTCAAGAGGTGTCCTAAGAATATATCTGTCAGCATCCCGTTAGGGTGAAATCAGACAGTATTCTCATCATCGACAACAGAGATTTTTTCTAACAGCCTTTAAAATACCAGTGAACTGATATCTCTTCAATGTGCATTTGGATTAGGCGATATAAATAATCTCAAGTGAAACATGGAGAACTTCTTATCGACCTAGAACCTTTTCACCATCCATTTGGCTGCCAGTTTTGGACAGATCATTACAAATTGAACTAAAAGTCATTCTTGACATGTTTCACTAAAATAAACATTCTGGCATGACTTTGGCCTTTAGCAACTTCTTGTTTAAGAAGTACTATACACTGTTGATCTATTAGGCATTGATATACAGAAGCACATGTGGCATGTATAGTGAAAAAGTTGTACACATGAAAATGCTCAACTAGGCAGAAAGTTCATCGAAGGTCAGTGACACACAAACATTTCAACTTCTATACCCTTAAATTCTGCTTAATTCTTGTATTTACAATAGAGAGCTTTTACAATGCATGTGTACAGTGTACAATTAAAAAGAAACTTGTTTGGTGCAAAGGTCTGCTGACTTTAATGTTTCTACTGCCATGCCATAGAAAATTGCAATTTTTAATATCATGAGTGAACATCTTATATTTGTTTCAGTCCTTAGAAACGTCATAGCCAGTAAAAAGAACCAACAATCAAGACTCTGTTATTGAAAATTTACAAATACTTCAGTTTATGGTACATTTTGCAGCATGACATTTACCTTTCCTTTCGACCACTTCTTCTTCTTGGCCTTACCCCCACCACTTCCAGCCTTGGCCTTTTGTCCCTTTTTGGAATCCCCTTTTGTGTCCTTCTTGGGTGGCATGATGCTGGTTCAGGTGGGTCCTACATGTCAAGAATAGCAAAAATTGTACTTCATTTGTGGTATGTGATTTCTAGAGTCAGTGTGATAGGAGCTAGCATCTTACTAATTCAGTGTTCTAAATCTAAGGAGGATTTATGTACAGAGCCTTTGCTGTACGTTCTATATCATATTCAAATTGACTTTGCAGTGAACAGTTACAGATGACACATACTAAAAATACAGAGGAAATAACTGTGATAATACAGTTGTCTCAAGAGGTGTCCTAAGAATATATCTGTCAGCATCCCCTATCATTAGGGTAAAATCAGACAGTATTCTCATCATTGACAACTTAGAAAGTTCAACACAACAGCCATCTTTGAAAACCATCATGGTAGAAATTTCTTAATTTTGTAAACAACCTAATTTGACCACACATTTTTCTATCTAAAAAAGTGTATCTTTTGTTGATCAATATCTTGATGTTTTCCTGGTTAGCACCAAGTTTATACATGTACTTTGACATGGATCACTTGTGCAACCACAGTAAGTTTCACCATCAATTTGTGTTACACTGACCTCTACAATTTAGAAGTTAACATACGCGGCTATTCCAATAACTTTGTGCTGTCCGGTTGACGCGGCCTTGAGGACAGCCTTGTCTTTTAATCAGATCAGATATATGAAAGGGAAGTAAGGACATGCTTACGACATGCTTACAGACTAGACCTGCACATGGCAAAGTGATTAATCATGCTTTCCCCTTTTCAAATTTCTCAACTTCCGAATTCAGCTTTTGCACCACAATCTCTCAAATATTATTGTTTCCCACGTATGCTACCCAGTTTGATGGCATTTGACGGCGTCCTGTGAATTTAGGGCGAGCAGCAGCTGGCTAGTATTGTGCAGCAGGTACAACACATGCAGCTGTCCACGTGATCACCAGTGCAAATGAGCTGCTCCATTTTGCAACATGGCGGAGCTGACCTCCCCACATTCTTGGATCAAATAACCCAACTTTTGTAACATAAAACCGGAAAATTTCACCACATATCACTAGAATAAGACCTTAACTACACTTAATATGGTGAATGGGCTGGCTAACGTGAGCAAGGAGAGAGAAATCCTGACAAAAAGACGGCGTGTCACCTTTTTTCCAGACCTCACCACGTCCAAAGGGAAAGAGGGCGATTGCGCAGGCGCGCTGTAGCATGCTGGGAACGGAAGCCTCCCTGGCACGGCCTCACGTGATCAGTGACCAATCAGCGGCGGGGACCCCCATGTCAAGTTGTTGTTTCGTTCTCTTTTCTTGGGGAGCTGAGCGGTGAGACTCGCCAATTTTGCAAGGTTTCCTCGCCGGTTTCTCGGCATTCCGTCGGTGAATTTCCACCAATATTGCGTCAGAGTGAGCGAACATTGTCTAGAACCTTTGGGCCGAGTTGGAAGCAAATCGGTTCAGGGACCGATGGTAAGTACGCCTGGAAAGGGGTGAGTTGGCATGTGTGGGGCCCTATGGCTCCCTCATGCTTGTACTTGCTTCTCCCCTGTCTGTTATACCAGCTGATTTTTGCTATCCCGTGTAGGAATTTTTGTGATCTGCTAGTTGCTGATTTGACAATCATGTCTCTAGAGTTACGACACTTTGTGTAACCCTTATAATCGTTCGTATAGCTTTCCAAACGGCCGGTGTGGCAAAAATTCGTCCGGCCCATGGAAGGCGGGTCAAATAATTGCCCAACCGGCAGCTAGCGCCAGTCTTGCAAACAAAGATTTCCTCTCTTCTACCAAAGCCCGTGGTTCAAACTAGTACATTTTCTGTGACTTTGTTGTTTGGCTTATTAATGACAATGTGAAGAGAAATATATAGGAGAATAAGTTTGTGTGTTTACTGAAATCTCCAAGGACAGGACTGTTGTGACGTTCTTCCTACGTCCTGTAGCTATGTTGTTCCATGATGGCCTTCCTCTCGGTACTGTGCTCACTCAAATCTCCCCGCCTACTCGCGCTAAATCTCCCAGAGTGAAGGAATTTTCCCCAGGCTTTAGCCGTACTTTGTACCTGTAATACTTGCGATCGTCTTGTGATAATCTACTTCGGCCTCGATTAAGGTAAAACTGAGCAGTCCCCCCAAAAATCGCCCTATGTGCACTTTTCCTGTAGTCGGTCGGTCGGTGGGAAAACACATCTGGGTGTGATCCACTAAAACCGTGTAATTCCTACTGTCAGAACTTGGGACTTCGTCATATTGTTGGTCGACCGTGTTTTTGTTTTGTATTCTTTCATGTTTACCGGAAGAAGTATGTGCATGGACTTCAATCCGTAAAGAACACTGCCAATTTTTCCCCCTGCCAGATCACCATTTGCACATAGCAGTTCGAGCTAAGGCTGGTCAGATGTCACGAAGGGTAAGGAAAATTCAACATTTTTGTTTCTGATCAGTCCCAAAACTCTACCTTCTTCTGTCTGTCATGTGTTTTCCAATGAACAAAGACTTAGAGACACCACCATTTCAGATATCAGCTGCTAGTTGCACAAGCATTAAATCTGTGATGTAATAATTCAATCCATGCACAAAATGCTCAACTTTTACTAGACTCTACACCATGTAAAAAATGCAAACACTCATAAGTTTTGTCTCATTGTCGAGAACGAAAAACAAGAAGTTAACTAGACCTGTAGACACCTTGTATCTGGGTCCCAAGGTAAGGTGATGGGTTTGTGGTGATGGTACTTTGTCGTGTATGTGTGTTTTCTTCTCCGTCAGCCTTAACAGTTTTACACTGACATGTTTACATAGTCAATTTTAAAAGAAACATAAGATAGTCTCTTCACCAGAGCAAGGTAAGACGGTTTCCTGTTTGTGGTTGTACCCATCATGCCAGGGTTGATTTTTTGTTTCGCCTGTTTTACTTTTTTCAGCACTAAAGGCTGCTACAGTGTAGCAGTTACTGTGTGACAAATACACTGCAAAAGCATTCATCCAGGATGCAGTTAGTGATGCTGTTTCACAATATTAACCACTGTGTATTAGGCTATGACTAGTTAATCCTATTTTTTAACTTCCAGATCAGAGAGAGAGAATGACTCATGTATTCTCCTTCCCAGTCCCCACAGCCTAGTGGTGACTAAGCTGTCACTAAAGATTGACCTCTGGCAGATTCTGCAGACACCACTTTAACACACCCAAGAACTCTTACCTGGCCACACCCTTGCAAGAAAGAGCCACAATGACATTCTTTTTTGTCTTAACTATTACTCTTGTTTTCTGACAATTTTGCCTGTTGTGAGTTGCAGAATCCTCGGTGAGAATCAACAGTTTTATTGGGTTGATAGTTGACACAGAATTGTTTTCAATTTTAGCTGAAGGATGTACATTTCTGGTCGTTGACGACACTGGCTCTTGCTGTTCATCAGACGGCTCCAGTTGTGAGATAACACTGTTTTGTTCTCCCTTTTGTACCAGCAGGATGAAGAAGTGGATTCGTATACACCAAGAAAGAAGGCTGTCATCTTCATTTATTGATTTTCTCAAGTCTTGACCTACTTAACTTGTACCAACTGCCAAGCATGATCTGGTCACCATGTTTTTTGTTTGTTTCAACTTTATCATGGGGTTGCACAGGAGGTATTGAAAATATACTCAAAACATGTCACAAGTCAATCTGGCATGCAATATCATGTGTCAATGTCACATCAATATTCATTTGTTTCCATATTTTGATCTTTTTGTTAATGGAAAAGGATAGATATTTGTAGAAATTACAAAATGTTCACTTCTGTTCATTTAGTTTGATTTTTCTTAGGGGCTCACATTTTATATGGCAAAAAAGTCGTGAAGAAGTAGTGGAAAAGGGTCAAAACCATTGATATTTTATCATTGATAAAAAGATGTTAGCATGCACTTAGTATGTCATGACATAAGAATTATACATGTAGTGTATACCAGAAAATGTTAGTATGCTGTTAATACTGTGATTGTCTAGAAAGGAAAAATGGAGTAGGTAATATAAATAGCCCACTTGATTCTATGGGTGCCCAAAATAAGTACAAGAGGAATGCTGGTGAATGTCAGCTTGGAGTCTCACTATACAAACACAGACCAATTGTCAGGGAAAATTATGGTGTAAGTGGATAAAATATTGGAATAGGTAAAACATACATGAATTTGCAAACAAACTGAGTAACTTTTCCACAATTTGACAAGTAAAATTATGTGTCCATGAATTGATTAGGGAAATGGTCATAGCAATTAGTGTCCTCTTCCAAACAGTGCATCTGATGTCATGTCCTCATAGTCATGTATCTGCCCTTTGATGAAATTTCATGGATTTTTCTTCTTGCAGAGGTGATCACATTTGGGAAGCAATACAGGAGCTATGGGTGTAATAAGTCAAGGTTGTCACAACATGAGCTGTCAAACTGTGGAATTTCAGCAGGAGGAAGACAGCAACCTGCAAACGCAGATGTCAAAATTAGATAGTCATTTTTCCATGTTCATGCAGGAGAAGCGGCTGTCAAGTTTGGCAACTTTTATATAACTTAAAAGTTATATGTAAGCATTTGAACTGATTAGATCTGACAGTTGTGTTTACACCTTGTTGTTCCAATGTTCAACCCAGGGTACAGAAGAGCCCCCATTCCTGTCGGTGGGCACTGAAGTCAGTGCAAAGTACCGAGGGGCATTTTGTGAAGCAAAGGTCAAGATAGTCAAGAAGTTGGTGAAGTGTAAGGTAAGAAGCTCTAATGTTCACCTTGATGTACTCCTCTTCATTTATCCATACTAAGAACGAGTAGTAACCACAATGATAACATTATCTTGTTTGCCCTTGTTTGTGTTTTGAAATTGTTTACTTCATAGTTTTGGATTGTTTTGATGAACATTGAGACCTTCCAGTCATATACACACTGTCCTGCGCTTTTCTGGAAGTTGTTGGTTGAATAAGAATGTTGCAACTGTTATCAAATTTGTGTTGTGATGTTGGTTATTGGTGCACTAACACTTAGTAACAGGACTGCCACTTGCTGTATTCCAACCCTTGGTCTATAAGTATAACAAACCACTGCCGACCGCAGATCTAGTCTACATTATAGCATATAGTTTACCAGAAATATGCAGCAGCATGGAAAGTTGGAAAAGTTTTTCAGGTTTCCGACAGTCCCTGGTGTATTACTCCCCTGAGCATAAACACATGATTGTCACACTGACATTTTGTTGTATCCAGTAGCTGATGACTATGGTAGTCCCCAAATCAGCCCAAGTTGTGAGGCATATTTTACATCATGACAAAATTGGCACACAGCCAAATTGTTTCTTCCACAGCCCAGTGCCTTACCTTCCCTAACCTGCACAACTAGGTAATCACCCCATTACAGCATAGCCTGTTCTTCTATTTTACACAATGATCAGTCTGCCCAGTACCATGAAGAGCAAAGAGAAAAGAAATGGCTAACATATCATTACATTTCTTGATTTTTCTTGTTGGTTTGTATTTTTACAGGTGACTTTCAAGAATGATAGTTCATCAACGCAAATCACAGATGACTCTATTATCAAAGGACCACTTAGGGTGAGTTATTTACAGAGGTTTGAATAATCATGCCAGACCTTCGACAGACCACAGCTATTGTTCAGTGAGACGCACTAATAAAGTTACATTACATGTTGACAGTCGCATGTTGTACCAGCCCTTTCACCTGTAGACAAGCTGAATAAACAATGAAATGGGGTTATGTCCAAAATAGGTTACATGTTAAGGTTATTATGTCATGACTTCACGACTGCAATCAGAAATTCACTCTACTTCAGATTAGTTTCAGATAGTTCAGAAATATTGATTTACATAACATATTTTATGTTTGAATGTAGCAAAGATAACCATACCTAATTTCCTGTCAAGTTTTGTAACTATATGATATCCACAAATTTATTGGGAATGTGGCTTTTTTTCTGTACACAGTTTAAACTGACTTTTGCCCCCCACCCTCTTAGGTCGGAGCGCACGTGGAAGTTAAGACTGAAGATGGACAAGTCAGGGAAGCTGTCATCAACAAAGTGATGGACAGCAGTACCTATACTGTTGGTAGGTTACACTTTATAGACATTTTAATGGTTCAACTTTAGAAGAAATGTCTTTTTGAGAATTTTACCTCTTAAGTTTTTTTTAGATGTTTCAGATGTTTTAGATGGAAATTTCTTTTTACAGCTATTGTAAGAATTGTGTTTCCTGTTATTCAGTCAGTTAGTAATTAGCGATTGAAAGTGTTACCATTCATCCCAGTACCTTATGTGTTTGTCCTGAAACTGTATCTTCCATCTTGTTCCTCCCAGTGTTTGATGATGGAGATGAGCGAACATTAAGGAGAACTTCCCTCTGTCTGAAGGGAGAGAAACACTTCAGTGAAAGTGAGGTATGTGCAGAATTTTTCCTTAGCTTTTTGATCATTTGTATCATATGGGTATTCATCTTTGAGGTGTATTATATTTTGTTTTGCATACACTGCAAGCCATTGTAACTTAAACAGTATATTTCCACATTTGTTTCAAAGAAGGATCTTCAAAATTAAACTGTGTCCTTGACCTCCCTTACACCAGTCTAATCTGGCTGTGTCCTTGAACTCACTTCCCACAGATCTAATCTGGCTGATCAGTGTTTCCGCCAGAGGGCCGTCCACCCGTCATATGACGGCCTGGTGTCGTTTTGGACGGCCTGAACTCGGACAGAGGCCGTCCTCTTAAAAAATTTCGAGACTCGGAAAAATCAGAGAAATTGACAGTCTTTGTTTTGTTGCTGTAGACGAGGACGCCGTCCAAGGCAAGAAAGACACACGTTGTTTGTTTTGCTATTGTTATCATGCTGGCGAACAATTGATGTCGGCGCCTTTCGCATACGTTAATCTCATTAAAACCCGTTTTTCATGTCTCCATCCGGTAAAATGTATCCACAAACATTTTTCCTCGAACAGAATCATTTCGGATGTGAAAATTCTCTTTTGGGAGTTACGTTTTTGTTTTTGATGGTCTTGTAGCGGGCGGGTTGCATGAAAATCCACGCCGCAGTTCGCTATCCACGCCGCGGTTCGCTAACACTTCCGGCTTGCTTGAATAAGCGAAAGGCACCACAAATCGGCATATGGATGCATACATTTTCCCAAAAATTCTTCATAATGAATTTCTTTAATGGAATGTTACTAATTAGCGGTAGAAACACCGTAGAAAGTAGCGTAGTGTAACTCTCTTCGCCAACAAACAAATTCTACAGCTATGCCGGCAAAGATGGCTCTATCCAATCAGAGCGCAGGTCATATGAGGTCAACCAATCAGAGCGTAGAGTTCACGCTGCTACTTACATATTAATGACAAAATGGCGCGTATTTCCTTCTCCGGCGAGGTTGAGAATGTGCGCTGCAAGTTTATTTTTCCGGCAATTTTCTGACTTTTAACGCCGATTTTTCGCACGCTACGATCACGCTACCATTTGACACTGTACTGGAGACAACAGATGAGTGATCATTTTACAATCAAGGAACATTTTTGTTGAATGAAACAGCAATGAAAGCTACGATACAGCCAATATTATTTTTCAAAATTTGTCTCGTGTATGAGAGATAAGATGACGTTTCTTTACATGTTTTGATGTATTTTTGGCTTGATATTAACGAGTAATTCGTAGCGGAAATGTACGGAAGAAGTACGAGTACGAACGAAGCAAGGCTCTTCACTATTAAAAATCCGGCAAGTGCGGGCGCTACCGGAGGTTATAATTAAAAAATTTATGATGCCGATGTTTGGAGTTTTGTAGCAGAGTTTTGCAACAGTATAATTTCCTGACGATACGTTTGCCATCTGTAACAGTGTTTTTATAAAAATACAAAAAAATGTGGAATGCTTGTGGACAGTTTCAACTTGTAAACAAGTGTAAACAAATGCCCCGCCCCCTCAGTTAATTTTCGCGACGTGTTCCCTAAGTTAATTAATTTTCGCGACCCGGCCCTTCCCAACTGGACGGCCTCTCAGCTGCAGTCTGGCGGAAACACTGTGGCTGATAATTCATCAGCTTTTCAGTATTAGCACATGAAACAGGGTTGCTTCAGTTCAGATCATAAAAATGAAATTAAATGTTGATATAATTTTGATCCTTGTGTATAATTGGGTGACACCAAGATATCATTACAAAAACTGCTTCTTCACCATAAATGTTTTGTTGACTCCAAGAAAAAAATCATACTACATGTATCTATGAAATGTTTTATTGAGCAAAAATGACGTTTTACATGTGTGCAGTAACCATGGCTTTTCTACCAGACCCTAGACAACCTCCCTCTGACAGACCCGGAGAATTTCGGTACGCCGGTCGTGCACGGCAGTAGTAAGGGGAAGCGACGGCGGCGGCGCTGGGGAACGCCGACCCGGGTCAGCAGTGACGAGGAGAGCGATGACGAGACTCCCGCGCCCAAGAAGTCTGCTTCTAAGGCCAGTAAGGAGAAGGAGGTTCGAAAGGTGTGCACTTTGATTGTTTGTAGTATAACATGAAGTTGGGAATGTCCTAAGGCTATTTCAAAAGTTAGCCTTTATGACAAAGATAGAAGTAGGGAACATCGGAAACTCTAGAACTAAAAATGATAACTATCTACTTGAGGTTTACTTTACTTTACAAAGTATTAAATGATTACAACAAAAGCCAGTGACTGATTTGCAAATCGTCTTAAATTACCTCATATATACTTTGATCAATAACTAATTAATATATCTACAATAATTATCTACAAGAATGACTTCCCGTAAATTCTGAGTGTCATGTCGATCCTGAAGTACAGTATCATAATCTTCCTTTCACCAGGTCTTGTGTGTGGAGTCTACAGATAAGAGAAGAAATTGGTTTCCAGCATTGGTATGTACAGATGTAATACTGGTGTAACATCACATTGATTGGTTTTATGCCAGCACCATTGTAGTTGCTTTTACAAGTAGAACAATCAACTAAGGGTGTCTGATATTGTAGGTATTTGATTAGAATAATAGAAGGATAACATTGCTAGTGTCTAAAAATCCATCATACCAGAAGGAGGAAAGGGATCTGGCATTCATGCTTTTGTAAACATGATTTCAGAGCAGGATGTGTTCAATTTTCAGTCAGTGACCGTGCCAGATTGGAATATAGATTTGACCTACATTGTCTAAAAAAGCTCTGAGTCTGCATCAGTTTTAAGTCTTGTGGGTGACACAATCTCTTCATTGCTGTTTTTGTATGATGGTATGAAAGTATGTTACGGTCCATTTCCTTTGAATACCGCCAAGTTAAAGCTGGAGGTTTTGTTAGAAAGGTGTAACAATGATGTAAAAGAAAAGAAAAAAGTGAAGTTTAATTATGTACCGTACATGGCCATTACTAACCAGGTCACCTTCTGTCCTGTACAGCCTGTGAGCCCTAGCAGCGCAGATGTAAAGCTTACGAGAGGCAAGGACCAGATAGCAGTGCGGTCATTCAGGGATGGGAAATAGTAGGTCTTCTTCATGTAACTGGGGAAAGGGGGGAAAATGAAAATGCAGATTATTCAAGTCACTAAAGCTTAGAAACAGGAAAGACAGGCTGCACCCCTCTTAATTTTTTAGGTATAACACTTTGTGTTCGACATAGACATATTGTAAATTTATAGCTGTTGATCATTTTTTGCACTCTGCCCTGAAAAGGCTATGCTGTGGACTATTTTCTTCAGAAAGCTTATGTATTACTGAATATTTTTGTAGTTTTCATTAGAAAAATAATGCTCTAGTTGCCATGTTGTCCTAACATGTAATTTTGTCCTTGTAGCCATGTAGTGAACAAGGAGGACACCAGGGAGTTTAACAAGGAGCAGGCAGAGAGGATAGAGAGCCCCTCCCTCAAACCTGGTCAGTATACACGCATGGGGAAATAGTTTAATCCATGTCTTTGTATATGTAGTAATGTAGTAGTAGTAATTGGTTTATTGATAAAGCACAGAACAAATTGGCCTTGCAGTTAAAACTGCATTACGCCAGAATTTACAATCAACATATTCAGTAAAACCAACACGGTAGGCTATTATAGTACATGTATATGTGAGATTATTTGTTTTTATCAGGATATCTAAACAAACTGCAATTCTCAGATATTATTAGCATTATAACATCATTGGAACCACCTGTTTATCAGTATAGATTTTGAATTGATGAGATTGGTGTTAGTATATTATATTGTTCCTGTCTGGTGGTACATACAAAGTGTGCAAGTACTCAAGTAACAAATTACACAATAGGTGCTGAGTTCAACTTTTTATCCACAGCTATTGACTTGGCTATCAAGTACTTGGACACTGGAGACGTCCCCACATCTTGGGATAACAATAAGAAACGTGTCAAGGAGGAGAGTGATGCAGAGGAGGACAATGACGGGGAGGAAGAAGATGAGGAAGTAAGAACCATGCCATGTTTGGTTATCTCAGAATGGCTAGGGTATTTGTGACAGGAAAGGAATTCATGTTATGTCTGATAATGCTGTCAATTTATTGGCAACCTTTTAAAGATCTTCATAGATGGACATATTTGCCATAAGGGCCAGTTACCGTAGATACAATTATCCTTATTTGTGGAAACTAATCCTGATTTTTTTTTCTGTCCACAGTCCTCGGATGAAGACTCTGAAGAAAAAGAAAAGTTCTTAGAGGATCTGTACAGGTTTATGGAAGAGAAAGGTAAGACATTGATAGCAGCTTTCTCTTTCTTTATTGTCTGTGTTGTTGCCCATTTGGTTTTTAGATAATGTTGGAAACTTCTTTGTCTTGTGGGATGTTTGTAAACATTATTGTTGACCGTCTTAACTGTACATTGCAGGTACTCCCATCACAAAGCCCCCAGTCCTGGGCTACAGAGACCTCAACCTGTTTAAGCTGTATGAACTGGTGCAAGGCCAGGGGGGATTTGATGAGGTAAGAATTGTTGGTCATGTTTCGTGTCCAATGTGTTTTTTAACTATAAATTTTTTTTACCAAGACGTTAAACAAGTAAAACCATGTTAGATCTTGTTTTAAAAGTGATGGTAGATTGTTGTTTTGAAGAGAAAGCACATTAAATATATTGAGTCTGCATGAAACATAGAGAAATGTGTTTGAATGTCTGGTTCCATTTCCTAGGTGACAAAAGACTGTGGACTGTGGAAAGAGCTGTACGGTAAGATGGGGATTCCAGCACAGCACTCTGCAGCCTCGCACAACATCAAAGCTGCCTACAAGAAGTGAGTGGGATACTTCTCATTACTATATTGATTGAGTCTTAAAAGAATAGTATGTAATAGTTTAGAATAGTATGCGGTACTAGATGATAACAAAGTTGATGGAGTATTAAAATCTTTGGAAATTTGTACTTGTAACAGTCGAGGTCTGTTTTCAGGAAACAATGTTCATTTGTTTCCCTACTTAAAACAATATGTTGGAATGCTGCAGGTACCTGCATGATTATGAGGAGCATAAGAAGAAGCAGAAGCAGCAGGGCACCCCCAGGGCGCGGGGCAGGCCGCCCAAGAGCCCCCGGGGGGCAGACAGGTCAGAGAACAAGGAGGAAGACAGGAAGGACAAGAAGGAGGAGGAAAAGAAGAAGCAGGACAAAAGGGAAGAAGACAAAAAGAAGAAGAAAGAGGACAGTGATGATGAGGGAGATGAAGAAAAGGATCCAGAGGAAGAAGCCAGACCAAGGAGAGGGAGGAGGCCATCTTCAGTACGTGTCAATCTGTGTGCAATAATAGATAAAAAACACGTCTTCACTGTAAGATAGTAGAAAACAGTGGTACAGTGCCATGGTTTGCAGATGATTTAGAGAATTAACATTATCATGGTCTGCAGTTTGTGGTAATTAAATTTGTACAAAACTTGAATATTTCTGGATGTTACCACAATGTATGTAGTTAAGTTACATGCATTTGATAATTTCAGGCAAGAAGACTGCCTGTGCCAGAGAAGAAGGAGGACAAGGACAAAGGAAGGGAGCCTGAGAAGGCTGCAGAGAAGGGCAGCAAGCCTAAGGAGAAGGATAAAGACAGCAAAGCTTCCAGTAAATCTGATGATGAATCAGAGGAAGAGGAAGATGAGGCTGAAACAAAGGACCAGAAGAAAGAAGAAGAGGCCTCGTAAGTCCAATTTTTCTTATGTAGCTGAAGAGAGATTAAAGACAGAAAGTTGTTTCTTGCAATTGATACAATATAAATTGTAGACATGCTTAAGACTTCACCAATGTGTCTTCTCAAGGTGTTTGTATGTTTGTTTTATAATTGCTGCGAACTGTTTGTTCGTGCAGTGATGATGAAGAAAAGCAGCCCCTGGGAGACTATGCCATCGGGGATAAGATCCGTGTGAAGTACGGGCGCGGCCGGCAGCAGAGGATCTATGAGGCAAAGGTCCTGGAGGCTGAGATGGAGGAGGGAGAACTGATGTACTATGTCCACTATGCAGGATGGAACGTCAGGTGGGTGTTCTCACTATTGAAACATGAAGTTTGGTCAAATGCTGGCTGACTGACTGGATATATTATGTTACAGGTTCTAAACTTTTACTTGTAGCTATCAAACTCTGTTATAACTGTTGCAGCTTTTTAGGTAGGTACAAACACAAAATGTGCTATGCATACTAAATGTAAGTCTTCAAACTGTTATCGTAGGTATGATGAATGGATCAACCTGGACCGGATTGTGGGACCACTCGACAACAAGTCTGGCAACAAAGGAGGCAAGAAGGGGGAGCCAGTCCACTCAGCAAAGAACGGCAAAACACCACCTCCCAACAAGGGCCTGGGGAAGCGGGGACGCCCGCCGGGGTCCGGCAGGAAGAAGGAGGAAGACGACAAGGATGAGAAGGAGTCTACAACGTCAGAGCCAGCTCCTCCTACCCCGGAACCTCCCAAGACCCAGCTCAAGAAGACCGACAAGACGGTGCAAGTGAAAGTGGAGAGATTATCAGAGAAGATGGAATCTCCCCGGGTGGCCAGGCTAACAAGGTCCAACAGCACAGCTGATGCAACTCTGCCTTTTGACATTGAAGGTAAGGAGAGAACAGCAGCTATGATATTAATGTCTGTATGTACATTTTGTCTTCATGTCAGTAAGTACCAATAAGTGACTACATCTACAATTCCTGCAGTCAAACAGACATGTCATACTGCATGTGTAACTTACGTCTCCTTGTGTTTTTCTCCGATACAGCTTTGAAGCCCAAGAGAACAAGGAGAAGTTCAGGACAAAGTGTCACAGAGCCTCAACCATCAGGTAGAAAATTGCTCTACTTGTTTCTACAAACAGTAGCATCGCCAACATAGTGCATGGATTGCTTAGTTGGTACACCACTATGCATGTTTACAATGCAGACAGATTTCAGTGACATGCTTAGTGGCAAGAACACAGTCCAGTCTGCCTCAACAGACTTGGGTTGCCAATGGAGCTTCTGCAATGATCAGGGCTTAAGTGAACACAATACAGGTATCACATATGATGCACTAATAAGATTTCATCCAAGTTACATTACCATATTCTGGGTAATGTTTACAGTATGAATAATGAAATGATACCATTTGACTTGTGCAATATACAGTGATAGGCTGTACTTAATGTCATTTGTTGCATCTGTACCATTTGCTACATGCCTTGACTCTTGTTGTCCCACAGAACCTCCAAGTAGTCCTGAACAGATAGCAGAAGAAGAGGAGAGGGAAGATCACTTCAAGGTAGCTGCAAAAGAAAAAGAAGAGAAAACTACAGTTCAGGAGAAGCCCAAGGAGGAGAAACCAAGTACAGAAGGTGTCTCTGCTGAGGACGAAAAGCCTCCTGTGGAGGAAGAAAAAGGAGATGACAAGAAAGATGCTGTAAAGGAGGAAGCAGAGACAAAGGAGGCTTTGTTGAAGGAGGGAGACAAGGACGCTGATATGGAGAGGGAAGACAGCAAGGAAGGGAAGAAAGAGCAATCAAAGAACAAACGCAGAGAATCATCAGCCAGAAGAAAAAGGAGGGAGTCGGTAGAGAAGGCGCCACCCGAGATTGAAGACACAAGGCAAGAAGACGAAACAGCAAAAGAGCTGGACGACAATGACAGAGTAACCCAGGAGGGGGAGGAGAAGGAAGCTAAGGAACAAGAGATGATACTGGCTGGTGGCGACTCTCAGAAACTTCCTCCTACACAGAATGATGCAAAGGAGCAGCCCTCTAAGGATGAAAAGAAAGAAGATCCTGACAAGCAAGAAATGCCTCATGAGGAAAAGGAGGAGGGAGATGTGGAAAAGACGGAGAAGGGGAAGAAGAAATCAGCTAAAAAGGGCAAGGGTCGCAAGTCGGGCACAGATCAGAGAAGCAAGGCAGCTGAAGAGAGAAGGCATACTAAAGAAGAACCTTCACAGTCCTCAGAACACATAAAAGAGGAAGATTTGAAAGATACTGTTCAGCCCAAAAATGAAGACCACACCAAGGAAGGGTCATCCCTCTTGCCAGAGGCTCCTAACAGTGTCACCCTACCTGTAAAAGAGGAAAGGTCCTCTGAAGAAACAAGTAAAGAAGAGGCCCAGGTAAACAGGATATCCCCACCTGAACCAGTCAGCTCTGCCCCTACTGTCACCCCCAACTCCACCAGGTCCAAGAGAGCATCTTCTCCAACAGATACTGCTTTCACCCCACCCAGCAAGAAGACCAAAGGCAAGAACGACAAGTCCGACAGGTCGTTAGCAAGAAGCGACAGGTCGTCTCCAGTACCCGAGTCTAAGTCGAGGAGAGGCAAGGCAGACAAAGTCGGCCGGACATCCCCTCGACAGGACAGGTCATCACCAGTACCAAGCTCTGGGTCCAGCAAGAAGACCAAAAAGGAGAAGGTGGAGAAGGAAAAGGTGGACAGAATATCCCCCGTTCTACAGGCTCTGCCTTCTGTCGCTGATGCAGTGAAAAGTGATCAGGAGAAACAAGTGCCAGAGAAGGCCCTGAAGAAGGAGCCGGAGGACAACAGAACACCTCCGGTTCTCAACGGCCTTCCACCCACCCCTCCGGGCATCGCCCCTCCCAGCATTCCAGCCACGTCTGTGCCCGAGGAAAAGTCTGAGCCCCCCACATTAGAGGAGGCTTTGCCGCCAGGAGGCCAGGAAGAAAGCAAGAGTACTAAAAATGACATGGACATGAACCTTGAGTTGGACAATGTGAGTGAACAACCAGGGGTGGGCAACGAGTCCCCCGTACAGGACAGCAGCACGGCCTCCTCCAGTAGTATCGGCAGCGGGAACATGCCCACCAACGGGAGCACTAGTGCCAGCGGGACGGAGGCCGTCACGCCCAGCAGGAAACGGAAGCACGAGGACGCGGACAGTGCCGGCAGCAAGCGGAAACGCAAGCACCACAGACACAAGAAGGGCCGGCACCACAAACACAACAACGTGAACTGCAGCGACAGTGAGTCTTCCGAGAAGGACAACAAGGACTCCCACCACAAGCACAACGGCAGCTCTCCTCGGAAAAGGTCCAGGTCTCCCTCAGACCCCACCTCACCATCCAGGCCTCCCAAGTTCCACTTCAGTGTTGAAGGTATGATTGATCTTTTTTGAAACACACAAGACTTAATTTTTCTTACTTATTTCTTGCAGATATCTTTGTTGTTTTTGTATATACAAGTGAGTTACATTGTCCCATGGTAATGCAGATGCTGTTTCAGAAGATTATCAAACTTCAAAGCATTTTAGTCCATTTTCACTACATGAGATATATTTGCAGGTTGGTCTGATTTCAGATATGTACTTGAGGTAAGAAGCCTATGGACTTGGCTCTTAACAAATCCTTGTTTTTGCTTGACAGAATGCCTGAGGTACCAGGGAGAGGCCAGGATAGACTTTCTACAGACAAAACTGCAGGAGATGAAGACAATCTATGGAGCCCTGAAATCTGAGGTAGCCTCCATTGACCGCAAGAAGAAGAGGCACAAGAGGAAAGAGCGAGAACGGGCAGAGAGAGAAGGTATGCAGGCCTGCATGTATGTACACATGTAAACTCTTGGTTGTGCACTTGTAGTTCTGTCCCTCCCCATTCATTTCATTCCCTCTCACCATGCAAGGTTTCTTTCCCTCAAATCGGAAGGAATGTCAGCCTTTTTGCCAAATGATTTGTTAATACTGATGATTTTAAAAATTGCCAATGGTGAGAAAACTTTGGACACTACTGTTTGGGCAGCACATTTTCTTTTTGGAAACGTCATTGATCCAGCAACTTTGAAGACTAGTTTTGCTGAACTGACTTGAAACAGCATCTCTCATTCCATTTTATTGACATCTTCTGTTCCCCTCTTGCAGCAGCTCAGGCTTTGGCATCAGCAGCCCACAAGAACAACTCTGGTAACGTGAGCAGTGTCAGCAGTCCTTCCACAGTGTCGGTGGAGTGCAGATAGGCCTCGTCCACTCCACCAGCTCTTCCCAGGAGCAGCTAGCAAACACGGGGTTTTTCAGGGTTCTGAACGGTCCACTTTAGTCTAGGGGGAACAGGGACATCCTCTGGTGCAACAATGAAATTTCTGATAACATGGCTTTCAGGTGATTTCCCTAACAGGTATGCCCAGCTGAAAAGTATGACCAATCTTGACTGAAACTGGCTGGGAGTATTATATAGTAGTTTGTTGTACAGATTTTGAGAATGTTTATGTGAGAGAATGGTTTGACTTTATTATTACGGGCATACCTGGTGATCATGGTTGGACCGATTTGTTGGAATCGGCTGGTGTATTATGAAAGCGAGGTTCCCTGATCCTTTGACAAAATGGGCCGTTCTGCAAGGCATGGTGGGTATGGCAGACCAGGACGGTGTTAGTTAGCCTATGTGTTCTGTGGGACCAGGCTTGTGATCCATGTAGTCATATTGTAGTGTCCCTCATAGGCAACTACTCTTAACTGTCCCTTTTGTTCCTGACCAGTCTGTACTAGGTTAGCCAGCTAGATGAAGTAACAAAAGTGACTATCACCCTTGGACTAGCTCCACCCAGCAAAGAGAGGTTACTCTCCACCAGTGAATATTGACCACAGTGTTGACAGTATTGAAAGACAGATTGATTTCTTCCAGTTGTATAAGAGCAATACCTGCATAAGATGCTGTCTGTCATGACCACCATGCCTCAACCCTTCTACGTGGGCCAACTTTAAAATTTAAGACCTCCAAATGCTAGTGAGATAAATTTATTTCTGTGATAAAGAGAGCAAAAAACTGTCATTTCAGATTGTTCATATAGTCCTTCAATGTCATTATTTTCACAGAGAACTTCAGTGAAGGTAAAAAAAATCCATATATTTCATGAAGTTTTATACACAGTTTTATGCAATGCTACCAAGCAGCAGACATTTTCCAGTCTGCGTACAAGTAGTGGACTGGATTTTTATTCTTATCCCCATTATTTAATGTATTTGTTGCCAAAAGGTCCCTTATTTGTTTATATTATTGTGGATATCTCAATATTTTGATGATTTTTGTACAGTAATTTTAAGGAATTGGAGAGAGTGAGTACAGGAGAGGAAGACAATGTCAATCGAATTCCAGAGGCCAAAAATTGGAAGATATACAGTATGTCCTCATGCTGATTCCATACCTGGCCACGCCTTAATCTGAGCTGCATCTAACCATGCATTGTGCCACTTTGTTGGCCTATCGAAATAGCAAATCAGAGAGATAACGTGTAAATTGAGGGAACACCTCCACATTTTTTATTCTTCCCCCCATCCCCGTGTACATGTTATTAGTCTTTTCCTGGTATATTGGTGAGGAATAACTCGGCTTATTTGCTGAATACAGGAAGAGAATTTTTGTCTGAAAATTCCAATGATGTATACTGCCATTATTCCTACTTCCAAATTAATTATTAAGATGCGTGGCTGAGAATCTTGTAGATATTTCTCTTGTAGACATTACTACGAGTCTTGATGGAACATTTCTGTGTGCTAACTTGACAACCACTAGATAAAATAAATCAAGTCATTTTACATTCAAGTGGAGACGGCTCTGTGATGCATGTTAATTGTGTACTGTGTGAATGACTCAGTAAGAATATCTTTTATGCCACACCAATTTAATTTCTTAGTTCTTAGATTTGCCCACATCATTTTTTATTTTAAAAAAACAAAAAACATTTTGGCATCAACAGTTGGAGTTTTTGCATTTATCAATGCAGTGATGGTGTGGCCATATGTAAAGTATCAGTAATATATCTGCTCATTGCTACATGTGTACATGTGCTAACTTGTGTAAAAAATAACATTGATTCATAGATGGGCTTAAACAGGAAGAAGGTAAAAAGTATTTTTATTTTTCTAAAGTCCTGCTGCTTTACATCAGGTTGCCAGACTTGTAGTTGTCATAATAACCACAATTAATAAACAAACTTGCAATCTTAATGAACATACCCAAGACATAAACATGGTAGGAAAAACTAACACAAGTCCTAGTACATGTATTTGCCTTATATCTCTAACTTCATACACTTAGGACTACCCAACTTCATCTGTTACAGAAAGAGCATACTTCCATGTACATGTATATACATGTATATATATATGCTCCTGACATGGGAAGGGTGGCACATTTATGTTCTTATTTTCCCCTAGATTTCAACCCTCCCTTGAACCCAGGCTTGTTTCTCCACCTCTCTTTGAGTTTCTTCCCTCCTTGTTTCTTCTTAAATCCCATGGCTTTGTCCTTGGGTTTGAAGTTGTCCTTCCCCGAGGATTTGAAGCCTTGGTCGGTCTTTTGGTAAAACTTGCCCTTCAGGAAGGGTTTGTCACCTTTTGATGCTGAGCCTGAAGCCAAGCTGTGAAGAAACTATTAAGGAATCAAGTACATATTGTGTATGCATTACCATTTTTACCAACAATGAAGACTGTCATGTGAAAATGAAAGAATACAAACACATGCTCACAAATACTAGACTATACTTGCTATTTACATGTTCCTGTAGATGATTGAGCCCTGATGCTTGCGGCTTGATTGATTGATTGAGCCTTGGTAATGGCATGAACTCAATCAAAAATTGACTTGTCATGATCGTGAAAGCCTTTCCACAGTTGATGCAAAATGTCCACAGGACTCGTATCTTTGTCAGCTGTTACAAAGGATATTGTGTTCTTGACTTTTTCTTTCTTGACAGCCCTCTTCACCCTGATCTTTCTTCCTGAAAATGGTTTTTCATTCAGCCGTATGGCCAGACCTACAGATGCAGAGTCCTGTATGGAAAATAGTGAGTATGTTGTCAACATTAACACAAAAGCACTTGCACTGCACATATTCAAGGTGGTAAACCATTCAAAGACTTTTAAAATACATAATTCAGATAAATCGGCAGTCCAGAAATTCCCTATTATCTCAACTTTCAAACCAGCTCAGTTGATGAAACAAAAGAACGACAATGAAAGTAAAACAATACAGGCATATACATGTACTGTAAGATATCTCCACACCTGAAACAGCACATAACCAAAGCCCTTGCCCAGCCCAGACTTGCCGTCCCTGACAATCCTCACCCCCTCCACCTCCCCACACTGGGAAAAGTGCTCATACACAGAGTCATCCTCCACATCTGCAAGTGCACAAAATAGTATTAACAGATAGGTAGGAACTAAGGAAGAGGGCATCCAGACTAATGCTTTACAATTATATGACTAAAACATAATATGAGATGTGATTTGATTTGATGAACTTGTTGGGTTGATACTCACCAAAGGGAAGGTTGCCAACGAAGACAGACAACTTGTGGTCAAACTGGAAAAGAAGAGACAAGTCAATGGTTAATGGCTTTGGTATCTCTCAGTAAGAGTCATAATGTACTTGTTCAAAATAGAGAAAAATCAAACACTTTGAAGGAATGTGAAGTTGGCTCACCTTCTGGCTGTTGCTAGCTAAGTCCACTCTGATGTGATGTGATCCTCCAACTATGGTGCCATTCCTGAAAACATACAAAACATACCACAAACTTGGCACAAAGTCAAAGTTGTGAAGGCAGGTGGATGCATTGTAATCCCTAACATTTGAAGAAGAGAACAAAGTGCCCTTTAAGAGTTGAGTGTTCCACTTTGCTTTATTTGTGCAACAAAGTTAGAAAAGATTTAGACAAGATCTCTCATGATCTTCAACAACCATGGAATTCTAACCAAATAATAAGATATTGTCACAATGTGTTATATTTTTGATGTTTGAAAGGTCCAAATACACAGATTGTAGGTCTATGAGAAGAATGCTGTAGACTTCAGACTTGTCTATACTCACCTTTTGAGTGCAGCCTGTGCTGATGCCTCTTCTGTGAACACCACATAACAGTTCATGTTCTTCTTTTTCTCCTGAATCTCTTGCCTGTTAAAGAAATAATCAAGAAGCTGTCAGACACAGCACAAAGGAATATTGCAATACAAAAAACTTTCATGACAAGGACTTATCCAATTTCCTTCATGGGACTTCTATTTTATTATAGGTCAACAAAGAAAGGTGCAGAAGAAAATTATATAACCACAAGAATGTAGTAGTGAACAGATACCTCATCATGGCTACTCTTTTGGAGACATTTGGGTTGGACTGAGCCTGGAATGGAATGGTAATAAAGGTATGTAAATTGTAACTTCACATCTAAACTGAGAACAGTTTATCAGATGGAAACCTTGTGAACTAATGATAAATTGACATTTAGTTGTACCCCAATATATTGTAAGTTTCCCTTCCAAGTTCCAACTTCCAAGTTATGTCAACCAGCATGTTAAGCATTTTCTAGTTGGAAACAGCTCTTTTCCATATAGCTAAAGCTGTGGCACATTGGTAAGCAGACAAACTTACAGTAGCAGATACACTTACAATTGACCTGAACCGGACTGACTCAATTTCACCAAACTTCTGGAACATCTTCTTCAACTCCTGTAGGGACATCAGAGAAACAGAACAGTTTCTTTATGTTTGATTTGGTTTTCAAAGTAGCAACAAGAAAATTTGACTGGAATGAAGTACATGTATGACACTATACACTGCTGAAGCTTGTATTGGATTTCTGTACCTTCTTTGTAGTACTAACAGGCAGGTTTCCTACAAACACTGTTCTCTGGTCCCTCTCAGGATCACGCAGCTTCTTGCCAGGAGTTGGGTTTGCATCTTCAAGTTCAGTTATTGTCATCTTCTTCTTCTCCTCTTGCTTCTTCTTCACCTGTTCCTTCCTGGTCTGCTCCTCTTGGTCTGCGTTCTTCAGAAGTGACTCTCTTCAAAAGTTCAGAAGACATAACAAATCAACCACCGTTACTGCTATCAGTATTACCTGAGCTCAATTGCCGTAAGCATTTTAATGCATAGAGCATAAAAACAAAACAAGATACATAAGCATATTATAACACGTTAACAATCTCTGCAGTTTGACAATCCTTACCTTTCTGACAATATGTTGGACTCATGGTTCTTCTTCTTTCTTGGCAGTCTGTCTTGGGTTCCAGGATCTTTCTTCGCATTTTGTGTGGTGGGGTCCTTTGATGTCTTCTTTGTCTCCTTGGCTGTGCTCTTGCTATCCTGTACATTTACTGTTCCTGCTGTCCCAACTGAAGAATCTTTACTCTCTGGAGTATCAGCTGCTGGAACTGCAATATTTGCATTAGCTTTCTTCTTCTTTCTCTTCCTCTTCTTCTTGGGTGGCTCAGAATTCTCAGCAACCTGAACTTTGTTAGTATCTTTTTACAGTCACTTGGTCTGAAGTTTCCTTTGTGTTTTCTTCATATGACTTCCTCTTCTTCATTTTTTTCTTCTTTCTAGGCAACACAGAGGTATCTACAGGAGATGTTTCTTGTACAACAGGAGCATCAATTCCTGATGATTTATTTACAGGTTGTTTCTCTGCTGGCATTAAGTATTTGTTCTTGCTTTTTCCTTTCTCAGAGCCTTGATTTTGAGTGTTGGTTGTCGTTGATGTTGTATGTGAGCTGTTCTCTGTGTTATTTTGCTCCTCTTTGACCCTTTCCTGCTTTCCTCCCTTTACCTTTTCTTTGAAGAAGTAGCACTCTCCTCAGATTTCCTCTTACCCTGCTGCTGAACAGTAAGGTAAGAACCACTGCCTACCCCGGGGGTTGACGTGAATGGTGATCTTGGACTGAAAAGGGCTGACAGGTTGGCTTTTTCTGGATTGAAGGATTCTTTCTTCTGCTTTTTCTTGGCAGAACTGTCGTGAGTCTTTGCCTTTGCCAAGAAGTTGGCAACACCACCTACAGTGTATCCATCAAGAAATCCCCCAGGACCAGCACTGCGTCAAAGAAAAAGGTCAACATCTTAAGAACTCAAATAGGGGGATACAGTAACATTTACATTATCATCATTTGTGAAAATATCTTACATTTTCAGTTGTTTCAATTGTACATAGTAGTTTAATATCCACATAAAAAGTAAAACATACAAATAATTTGCATGTCCATGGCTGAGACTGAGACAGACGATATTGTGCCCCCCCTCCCACAGTTCTGAATTTAACGCCAAGAAAATAAGCCTGAACTGAGCTTTTTGTCACTCTTTGGATGATATGTGATGGCTGAAATGTCTATACTCACCTCTTCATCTTCTTTGAGTCCATTTCCAACCTCTAAATGTTTACATTTGAGGATTTAAACCCTGCCTTGCCTGGTAACACGCGCACACATGCAAACTTTTAAAGGTCAAAGTTGACCATCCTTCCCATCATACACCGCAGTCCTGCCCGCCATTTTTGTAGCCGTGAAGTTTTGCTCTCCATACTTTCTGCTAATTTTTGAGACGATAAAACGTTTTGCTAGTCACAAACACACTTTCCAGGACATAGAGCGGCGACTGCCATGGATGCACTCCAGGGAGACCTGTTCCACCCCACCCCTGGGGCGGTGACGGCTGACCACAGTGGGGGGATCATGCCCGACCCCCCCTGGCGGGAGTGGGTCACCCCCCACAAGATCTCCCTCCTGATTCTCATCAGCGAATATGTTCAGAACAAGGCTGAGCGGGGACATGAGGAGACAGATGTCTTTACTAAGGTAGTATTTGTACAATGATGATGATGATGATGAAGGTGCTCTATGTAGTTTTTTGCGCAAAAAAATCAAATATTCTGAATCTAACAAATCTTGGTCTTATCATCATTTACTATCACTTTTCAACACATTTGTGTCATTATATTACATTTCTGGCGTATTTTGTTAGCGCAAAAACAGTCCGCTCGATGCGCGCACAGTTCCCGGTGGCACCGAGTTGATGCCATCGCTGGAACGTAAACGTAAACAAACAACGGTTTTCGAATGTGCAACTCGTGAATATCCCGCTCCCGGGTGAAAGGTCAAGTTAGACCACGTGACAAATCTCCGGGCCGGCTCGGGAGTACTCGGACATGTTCGGAAGTCAACAAACATGGCGGACACCCAAGCGCGCGTGTGCGTTTTCTGAGTTTTCTAACCGCTCGCATTGCAAAATATCGTCTCGCCTCCATGAACTGAATGGATCAGTGTAACACGGTAGGGTTTATTCAACTAGCAATGTAAAGAAATGGCCAGAAAATCGACCTTTTGTTTTAAGGTTAGACGGCCTACATAGAGCACCTTTAACTGATCCTGTTTCTAAGCTCATTGCACATTTGCTTCCATTTGAATTTAATACATGCGTTCATAACCTTGTTCCATGCAGACCCTGTTGTTAAGTGTTCGACTGCAGCGCAACATCTCCCTCGCCCTTCTGAGGTGGATCCAGAGCCCAGATGAGACACTTGCAGACCTGCGCAGAGAAGTAGAGAAGCTGGCAGAAGGAGATCGCTCAACGGCCGAGATTGTTGTTGGATGGCTGGACAGCAAACTGAAGGAGATGGCAGAGGATGGGCTGATGGTGCTGACAGACTTCATGCAGTCTTTAGAACAACTGTTTAACCTGTCAGCTGAAGGGGAGGAACCACTGCTGCAGAGGGCGGGGGTGATCGGCATGTTCATCAGACGGATGGTGCTGGCCTTCGACAAGCTGTCCTTCAGCCAGGTGTCGTCCCTTTACGAACTGCTGATGGAGTACTGCCAGGAAGGGAAGTCATCACTGAAGGACGACCTGGATACGAGCGATGCGATGGAGATGGCGGATGAGGGGGAAGGCATGCGGAGGGAGGACTTGGATGTGGGCAAGGAGGATTCAACAGTACTGTCCTATCGTCAAGCACAGTACTACCTTTCTAAGGGACTGCAAAATAACTACAACGATGCAGAGGCATCGTCTCCAGCTGAGTTGCAGCAGCAAGTACAGAGACTCCTGAAGAGCAACCCTTTGTTTGTGGAGGCGCACTACCTGAGTTACCTAAACAGTATGAACGTGTACGAGTGGTGCGGGGCAGTGCAGAGCCTCCATCTGTACTTTGATCGCTTTTCCCTCCACTCGCAACACAACCAGCAGAGTAAACCTAATGAGGATGTTACGGCAGCGAGAAGCTACCGCTACGCTGCGTTGAACCTGGCTTCCTTACACTGCCGCTTTGGGCACCGTGAAGAAGCCATGGCAGTTCTCCAGGAGGCCATACGCCTGGCGCAGGTCACTAATGACAATGTCTGCCTCCAGCATGCGCTGATTTGGCTGAGCCGTCTCGAGCAGGATGAATCCAAAGTGGCCATGCTTCTTCAGCGGTCTGTCATCCGTTCTAGCGTGCTAACCCTTCCTTACCTGGCCTCCATGGCTGTACAGATGTTCACTAAGCTGAAGGCCCAGGCAGGGTTGAAACCAGCCCGAGTGTTTGAGTACCTCGCCAAGAGCAACAGCCTGAACTGCCTGCACTATATCCCGGAGTTGGTGGCGTCGTGCTTCGCTCTGCAGACGGCGCTGTGGCAGATGTACGGGAAGAGCGCCATGTCCCTGCTGAACATCCAACTGCTGCTGCACGGCAGTGGCAACCCTGCAACCAACCACTGGGATAAGGAGCTGGGCTGTCTGGTGCTCTCTCATCTAGCAGGTATTAAAGGCTTTATAGGCTAGCGCTGAAGAGGCATTGTAAGATTTAAGGTGTAGCATGGCATACCATCATTGCCAGGGATTTGAGTATTGATGACTAACCCCTGAACAGGGGACTGTTGAATAGATTCTATTCTGCAAAGACTGTAAGTGTAATATTCCATTTTACCCCCACACATTGCCCATTACCTTTCAGTGATCCATGCTGACCAGGGGAACTACACCTGTGTGTATGAGATCCTGCAGCTGCTCAAGGAGAAGTTCCACTACATCAAGAAGAATGCCAAGGTCTGGATGTTTGCAGAACAGGTTTGTTTGTTTGTTTGGTATCGCACAACTGCTAAACTGCCTCAAGGCGTAACAAGCCATTGTTGTTACAACCCTCTCAATGCAGGCAAGACCACATCAAGCCTATCAAGGCATAACTCTATAGTCTATTTCTATTAATTATGGCTCTACTTGCAATATTGTACCCATAAGCTAACTTAAAGCCCTTACCATTGTCCTTTTGAGGATGTCATTTACTTGGCAGTATATTAGGCTTGTTTGTTGTAACTTTCTGGAGATCCAGTGACCTCTTACAGGTAAATTAATACAACTTGACCATACATTGATCTTGTCTTGGCTCCACTTTCTTTGTGACTCTCTGTTCCCCTCACAGTGCATTAACTTTGACCGAGCCCTGAGGAACCACAAGTGGACTGCTGCAGAGACGGCCATCACAAATCTGGCCGCGCTGGACAACACGGAGGCCCAGTACAGGAGGGCACTACTGCTGAAGGAGAAGGGTGACAGTGTGGGGGCCTGTCAACATCTACAGGAACTACTGCAGAAGTGCAGAGAGGAGCCCTCCACCACAATCACAGAGATACATGCAGGTAGTCTGATGGTGTAGCCATTTTCGAAGCAGGTAGTAGGCTCAAAGTAACAGGTGGCAGGCAGCTACACTCGAGTATGGCAAGTAGAGTGTCTTTTTGATTCAGCATGAAATGAAGTTCTGTTGCACAATTTACAAAATCACAGCACAAACATTGTATTTTGCAAATGACAATGTTTCTAATTGATTGACTCTTACCTTGTGCATCCTAGTGTATCTTTTTGTTGTGTTTCCTCCACATTAAGAACTTGTCACCCAAGCCATGATGATGAACATCACTGTGTCACATGCTGGCAAGTACATTATGTACTAAACAGTACAGAATACTACAACAGATAATGTATAACATGTCTGCATGGTAACAAATGTGTAACCATGTATAACACCTGTACACATCTATAGGTGTACTGCTGGCTCTTGGGGAGGTGTACACGGCTGCCTCCAACCTCACCACGGCAAACAGCTACTTCCTGCAGTGCCTGACCCTGTGTAAGGAGCACCACCTGAACCACACGGCCACCATGGCACAGCTCAACATTGCACACATCCAGCTGCTCATGAAGCTACCTGCTCAGGCACTGGCTCTCACTGAACAGGTCATGCCACAGGTATGGTTCAATTTTCTAGTACCATGTTTGTAATCATGAATGTGGCATTGACAGCTGTATTGGCTGATGTACTGTGGATAGACTCTTATGTCATCTACTGTAGTATATTCCCACATGGTTAGATATTCCATGCATAACATCTTCTCAGCAAAGTTCTGCCCAACATATTATTTCTTTCCTCAGTATCACCTGTTAATTATCTGTAGTTACAACACACGACCCTTCCGAAACCATATTTAGAGTTTTGTGTCCTTTTTTAATCCCATTTTCCTCTTTAGAAAATTGTTAAGATGTTAACTAGCTGTTTTGTCTCTCCAGGTACTGTCTCATGGCTCACTCTACAACAGATCCCGTGCACAGTTCCTCCTGGCTAAGTGCCAACTGGCATCTACTGACCCCAAACACGCTTCACGGAGAAAGGAAGCAATCTTGTCTGCCATCGGCACCCTCAGCATTGCTCTGGAGGGTTTCCAGAAAGCAGAGGCCCCTGCACGAGTCAAGGACGTTCTGTACTACCAGGCTCAGCTGTATAACGAGGTGGGGAACTCAGCAGACAGGAACAGATGTGCACTGCAGTTCCGCCAGTTAGATCAGCAGATACCCACTAACCCCACACAGATCCTCAACATCTTCTGAACAAATTAAGAACTATACATGTATATATGGCCTTCTTAGTTTACAGGCAGTCAATGACAATTAAAGCATGCTTTACCATCAGGGCTTGTTCTCCATGCCAGATATGGGTACTTCTTCAGTTACCTCAACAAGGTATCTTTCTTAAATTCTTTGTGCTCATTAGTGTAACAATCATTAATGAATGTACATTATGTATGCACTGATATCAATCATATACAATATGATCTTAGCAAGGTTCTTGATGTACTATATTAGTAAATGTCTTCTGAAATATCATTTATTGTTTTGAGGGGTTGCCACACTGCTAACTGTAGTGGAGCTGCCAATAATTACAAGTGGAAAATATAGGTTAAACTTAAAGAATTTATTGAGCTGAAATAAATACATGTACTATTTAATAACACAATCCAGTGTGTGCTTACAATGTATGCCTGCATCCAATGTTCCAGCAATATCTATGCAACGCTTCCAAAAAGCATATACATTTTTATAAATGTATTACAGTATATACTTCCTGTAACTTTCATAAGAAAATATAACATTGCAATGTATGAGAATATTTTGGCTCCACAAAATTGCTGTCTTGCTTGGCAAAGGTATCATCATCTTTACAAAGTCTCACAACTTGCTACAGAGGTGCCACGCACAGCTTCATCTGAAAGCGTAAAATTTTCACACAAGACTTACTGACTCTCAGGCTGTCCTCATACTTTCAATGTCAACTTTGTGAATAAAACTCATAAAATCTTGTGTGCAAAATGCAGGCACCGTAATGCCTATACGAGCAACCACTTCAACATAAGGACAACCTGGCCATTGTGACCACATTTTGGTGGTCCCTAAGATTGACCGTGGTATGGCCTGCTTCCTTACTATAGTAACCATGTATCTGTGGTAATAACTTTTGCTATGTCCGTTAAGTGTGCTCTATAAACACCTATGCATGAGATAACATGCCAATAATCCTTATTCTCAAACTGAATCTAACATTTCTCAAACCCTACACTACATAACATTTCAATTTCCATCAGATTTCTTTAAATAAATACATTGCTACAGATATACATACTTTGCTGCAGACTAGATACAAAATAGTTTTAAGAATACATGATACAATGTTATTACTTGGCAATGACAGGTCAATGAAACCTATTGATAATTTCATATACATATACATGTTGTGCAAAGTAGGATATTGTGTGCCATTAGATGAAACACAAATATATATACAGAAACATACTCCTGCACAAAACTTAATACAGCTAGTACATTTTTTACTATATAGAAGAACACTTTTTTCACAGTACTCATGTTTTAACCTCTCTTGACCTTCAACAAGTCAACTCTGCCACTCCTGCTAACAAGGTGCAGTACTGCAGAACTACACCAGTTTCAAAACTCTACCAGTATATCATAACCTTCAGCCTCTGGCATGTCTAACCATTACCAGCTGTGGGCACTGTGCCCTTGTCTGATGGATGTGCCATCAATACTGGTAACAGACATTGCAACAGGTTTTAGTATAGACACCATGCCATTAGTTAGACATGTAACAAGTCCACCAACCAGCCCTTCAACTTAAAGTTCAAGTGTAGTTTTAGTCTGATGCAATTAACACAAAGTGTTGCTCTGCAGTCAGTAAACTGAGCTAACACCAGTTCACACTAAGTACACTGTGCTGAGATATCTTGTCATGTACATACATGGCTGTCCTGCACAGTTTCAGTTGATACACTGTAATCCACCATGTCTACCATCCTGTTGGGTACTTCTCCATTAAACCTTGAGTGTGATGACTGCACACTATACTGTTATACTGAAAAGTACCATGTTCAACACCCAGCCCAATACTGCAGAACAGACTAGCTCCCTCTGCTCTCCAAAACTTATTGCTGTGTCCATCCTGTCAGACAGGTATCACTCAAGAGCTACCATGTCCTCTGGCCAGGCCTCTGCAACCTCTACAGCCAAGAGCACTGTACTAGGAGATGTGTAGCTCGTCTATACTCATGCACAAGTGTTCATCTTGTGGAGTTAGTACACTGAGAGCTACCATCTCAACCAGCCAGTCTTAATACCTCATACCAAGTGCAATGTACTGAGAAAAGTGCTTCTCCTGTGGAGTTACAGTACTAGTGAGTACACTGTAAGCTACCATGTGCAAAACCCAGTCCTGTACTTCCTCTGCATATGTACGTGTATGGCTGCTCCACTACATGAGGAGCTACAGCCTGTACGCTGTGTCCTTGTGCAGGAGGAAGCGTGTCATGACCTGGGGGAGGGGCAGCTTCAGCACCTCCGACAGGTGTCCGCCCTGCGCCAGGGTGTGGCGGATGGCCAGGCGACACAGGTGCACCAGGGGGCGGGGGTTACCTGCAGGATAGACAAGCAGTAGAGTACTTCTTTAATACAAGTAATCATACATGTACCTACATTGTACATAAGCAGTGTAAATTCACAAGCACTGGGGACTGAATAACACCTTCCGTAACATACAGGTTTTAATGTATGGTACACATGTTTGTATATCTCAATGTACAGGAGTACAAAGTATAATGAACTTCCACAGTTTACACTGACAGTTGTTAATTTAGTAATTTGTAAAGCTGACAAATGTGTACCTGAAATCTTCTGGATGTCAGCCCATTCTGGTTTGTCCTGGACACAGTCCTTCAGCACGGAGCACAGCTGGACGTTCCCCACATAGTCCAGCAGCAGTCGCACCATCGTCCCTGCTCTTTGTCTGAGGACAGAACAGGAAAAATTAGCTGAAGGAAAACTACATTGTAAGGAGTCAAACAACTTCACAGTAATACATCAGAAATTCATATAACAATCCATCAAATATCTATAAGAAGTACATGTAATGAAAGAGATAAAAACTGACCTGTTGGAGTGAAGAGAGGCGTATTCACAGAACTGGGTGTCATTGATGGTGGCTGTCATCCATTTAACTGGGTGTCTGCCATTTCCAATGCTAGAAAATGAGACAGGGACAACAGACATGCCTTAATACTCTTTATCATCATGAACTTGAGCAATCCCCACCCCAAACTTCTTCAAATACCGAGAATGATCCTGACTCGTATGATTTCCTTAAGGGTAAGTTCTGTCACTATGTGTTTGTGGAAACCATGGCAAAACTCCAAATTGCATCAAAACACTCATTATGGCAACAGACCAAAACCACCAACTTGTACCTGTTTCCCTTTTGAGTTACTTAGAGGAGACAACCTGCCTTAAGCTATCTTAGAAAGTATTAGAAAGGATTGTCTCATTTGCGCGGACATAACCCATATGGAAACAAGCAACAAAAATACCCAAGACATATCCCCTATTATGGGCAGCTTAAGCTCGTAGCTTACATCTGGATGGAAAAATTTAGCACTGCCATGTGTTAAAAGGTTTGGGGGGTTAAGAGAGCAGACAGGTCCTGACTTCTCGTGATAATACCAGTGATGGCTGACAAAATGCAGATTTGAAAGTCAGTGTCTTAAGTAATACTGGCTTGAATGAGCTTACTGCAAGGCTGGCCTTATTTTGGAAGCTGTTGAGAGATACACTTACCTGCATAAGAAGCATGTATCTGCCTGTGCCCCTCCATCCAACACAAGCTTCAGAAGTCGCTCATCTTCATAAGCAAATGCAATAGTGGAGGGAAACAGTCCTGTGTTGATGACAAAGTTGGAGTTACAGTCTGCTCCATGCTCTATCAGCATCTTGGTGATGTTGAAGTTTTTGTGCCTCAGGGCCATGAGAAGACAGTTGATCTCGTCTAGGTTTGGGTTTGCCCCGGCTTCCAGGAGGATCCTCACACACTCCTCACTGTTGTTGTCCACAGCAAAATACACCGGGGTCTGTCTTCTGTCCTCAAATGACTTGCTGTAGGTCCAGGACAGCTGACAGTTCACATCAAAGCCGTGGTTGATCAGGAGCTGAAGGCACTCTGGTTGGTCACCCTCCACGGCAGAGTGTATCGGACTCATACCACATCGGTCCAGGGCTTCTTGGGTTGTCACCGGAATAAGATGTTCTAACACACTGGTGGAAATAGAGAGAAACTTTAACAGTCTGACTATTGCACAAAGCACACGGAAGCTGTCTATAATCCATACATGTATGTTGTCATCTGAAATCCACAACAGGATTTCTTACAAAGTTATCACTTAAAACATTACAGGCATAACAGGGTCAAACAGAGTATGCTTAACATGACAAGGATTAGGGTAAAGACTTTTCTCTGTCTTATAAAATTACCTGTAGTTCCCCTTCTCTGCAGCGATGTGTATAGGCAGAGCAGCTGCATCAGTCGGCATGTTGGCATCCCCACCCCTCTGTAGCAGCAGCTGTACACAGTCCAGGTGGTCCTCCTGGGCAGCCAGGTACAGGGGCGACGCCCCGTCTTCTGTCCTCGTGTTCACCAGGTCATCACCCGCTGCAGGAGGAGAATAAGGAGAACAAAATGTAGCAACTGTGCTTTATAGGCAAAAATGAAACATACGATATCTTTCACCACACAAAAAACATTGTAGTCTGAATCTGAGAATACTTGCTGTGGAGTCAGGTAGGGCATTTGCCTAATGTGTTTTTTGCCCACACATAGTAAGAAAAGGGTTCAATCATGTGTAAAGGAACAATAATGCAATTATTGTCTACTTCACCAAAGACCTATATTTACTTAGCTCACATCTACTTTAAAACAAATTATTTTACAAAAAACAGATCAAAGGATCTTTGGCAATGGATCTGTATTCAAGCAAGTACAAATTTCATATGCAAATGGTAACTGTCAAACTTGTTCATGGAATGACTTACACTCATCCAGAAGTTTGCGCAGACATTCCAGCTTGCCGTACTGGGCTGCCACAAACACAGCAGTCCGCCCATACTCATCCCTGATGTCCAGCTGGGCACCATGATCCACCAGCAATTGTACTATGTCTGGGGAAGTGGCAAGAAAAACTCATTACTCAACAACTGTTGTTCCTCATCAATTGTTTCAATTACCTGATGCACCTTCAATGACTTTATATTGCCCTCAAGTATCTGTTTACTACTTTGATCTTTATCATACAGGTACATATGCATTCCCTGGAACTTACACTATGTTACCAACAAACATAGTGAAATAATTTCAATCTCCAATGAAAAACCGTGAAGGTCAAAGATACCAAGAAAGCTAAGGTTAAAAGCCCATGATGGCTTTGTAAATAATATTTTAAGCAACAAACATTGCCTACTGCACACTAGAGTATTACCTCTGTCCATCAAAAGTTCCCCAACTGTTCCCAGTGTTAGTTCCTCACCTGCCTGTCCCTGGGACGCTGCCTCATGCAGAGGAGCCCAGCCGTTACAGAACTTGCTGTTCACATTGACATCACGGTCCAACAGCAGCTGTACCACCTCCCTGCTGCCCACCTCCACAGCTGGGAACAGCACAAAACAGCATTAGACAGCTTTGTATAGCATCAAAGCTTTCATCCTTAGCTGCCATTGATGGGCAATCAACTAACATTAACAATGGTGTTATCTGACATGACTTTAATTCCAGTTAATTGATACACAAATTCAAATCATAGGAATGATGTACGGGTAACAAACAAGTCTTTAATACGTACATGTACTTTGAATACCTTTTTTTCCTACTTCTCTTAGAAAATAACAATTCATGCCTAAAAAACATAACACAAGTGTACCTTTCAGTAGAGGCGTGGCCTCCTCATTATTTGGTATCTCCAGATCAGCCCCAGCCTCCAGGAGCAGTACCATACAGTCCACGTGGCCCTTCTCAGCTGCCAGGTACAGGGGTGTTTCTCCTTCATAGTTCCGTACATTCACCTCTACTCCAGCTGCAAAATAGAACACATTCATGGATGAGGCAACAACTGTACATGTATATAACAATGCAAAAACAGCAGAATGTCAATGCTGGTACACCTCAAAGGGTCTTCTGTTTTAATGTCAAGATGTGTGAATATAGTTGTTTAGACAACATAAAGAGTATGTGCATCTCAGTAGAATTTGAAACAGTGCAGGGTTAGTTATTTTATCTAGTACATCTTGAACATCTAAACACCAATTAAACATTATAGCACAGTCTCTATTTGGTCTGTGTGATATCAGCAAATATTTTGAGAATCAAAACAAGGAGACAAATGCATCTACAGAGTGGATTTTAATGACTGTGTTTATCTCCAGCACTTTTGGAATACCAAATGTATATGTCCATCAAGAAACTATCTACTGTATAAAACAAACCCTTAAACTGTCTACCAGTTAGCACGACACTCAGCACTCATGTTTTTTTGTTTGGGTTACATTCTACTAAAGCTGACAACATAACTTTACTGTGGAAAGGAATCACCACGATGCAATGTGCAATAATCTAGTCATCTTCCATCAGGCTTGTGGTCAAATGCTGTCCATGGCTTTTGTAAAATGTGGAGACCAGGTGTTGTCCATGAGGAAAGAGCATTTGCAAAAGGACAAAATTGCCTGCAAGAACAATTTCAGCAGAAATGCCTAAAACATTGATAATTTGCCAAAGTATTTAAATTAACTTTCGTCCATAATCGACAAGACATTGCCTGGTCTGTACATGTGAGAAGTGCATGAAAAATAAATAACACTCATCATGCCAAACTAGCATGAAAGTACAGTACAAGTGGTGTACATGATTAGCCTGGATGTCACCCTGGTCAGGTCCATGTATACTCTGCAGGAACAACTGTCAGAGTGGACCGACTAGACCAGGATAGCATCCAGGCTAGTCCACGATGCGAGGTTAGAAGGTTGTGCGTCACAGTCACATTCTCTACAGCTCTTCCAAACCTGCAGGTTGGGCACTCACCCTCCACTAGCGCCCTCATACAACCATAGCGGCAGCCTGCACCAGCCTCTAGTACTAGCTGCCATTTATCATGGGGGCCTTCATCATGGCAACAAATAAGATGTACAACTTTTGGCATCACTTCAGCAGACAAATACATGTACAAGGCTTTCTGTGCTTTTCTGTGCTTAAGAGTTTTAAAAGTAACATTTTGTATTTTAGAAATGTGTTTTATGTCATCTAAACAGCTGCAATAAAAACATACATTAGATTAAATTGAAAACGTTGTAATGTTTACCTACAACAAAAAAATATTGTACTCTGTTTACCATAAACTTTATGAGCAGGATATGGAAAAAAATTCAAATTAGCACAAAGTGCTTTTAGCATAACTTTTTCCGTGTACATGTACAAGTAATGGGTATTAACAATTTATTTTATTACCAGTAAGTCTATTGTTCCTTCAGTGATCACTAGTCACTAACTGGACATTTATGATGTAGATAATTAAGCATCCCCAAGTAAAAAGAACTACTATCTCTTAAGTTTGTTGTAAAACATTTGGCAACAGTTTAAGCTGCACACTTGGCAATCCTTTCATGTGGCTGCTGACCCAAGCTAAGTAAACATCTTTTGTGAAATGCACACCTGTAAGCTGAGAGGGGAACAAAAGAGCCCAGGAAATCTGAATACGCCTGAGCTGATAAGCCTTTATTTGCCACCATTTCATGCACCAAGCTGATGCACCATGTTACGTTGTGCTGTTAATGTTTACAACATGTCAGCTGCAGCAGCCAAAACAGCAGCATACCTATGATGAACTGCTGAGGCCACAAGCTTGAACTACCTAATTGAACATTTGCTAAAATTTAAGGTGTCACTATGGCTATGGAAGAAGAGCTGCCCAAACGTATCAAGGATGAGTTTCTACAGTGCTGGTTGTGCCTGGACACGTTTAAAAGACCCAAGGCCCTCCCCTGTCTGCACACCTTCTGTGAGAGGTGCCTGCAGGACTATGTCGAGGACAGGCCCAAGTTCCTCTGTCCCTACTGCCGAGCAGACACCAAGCTTCCTGAGGGGGGAGTAGCAGCACTTCCCAACAACTTCTGGATAGCCAGTATGAAGGACTTACTGGAAAACCAGAAGCCAGCCCAAGATGACAGTGATTCAGACTCAGGTATGTGTAGAGTTCATGGAAATCAAGACCTGAGCTACTATTGTAATACATGTGAAGATGTCATCTGTAGAGAGTGCATCTCCCATAGCCACAGCCAACACTCTGTTTCAACACTTGATGAAGTTGTTGAGAAGAGTCACAGAGAAATAAGAAGCCTCCTTGAGAAGGGTAGAGACAAGCTGGAAAAGTATGGATCTCAAATGGCTCGGCTTTCTGAAGAGGAACAGAAATTAAAGCTTAACAAGCTGAAGGTGGAGAGACATGTAAAGATGGCTGCCAAGACTCTTATAGGCCGTATAAGAATCGAGAAGGAAAGTCTGCTGCAGCAGATACAGGAGAACTACAGCAGAATCTCAGACTCTGTCAAAGACAGCAAAACAGCTCAGGAGAAACACATTGTGGAGCTGTTATCAATCATGGACCAGGCTCATAACATCATGTCAAGTCATGAAAGGAACTACAAACCTTTCAAGCAAGCTGAAGAAAAACTTGGTAAGCTCGTTGGTACAGAAAGGACAGAAACGAGTCATTTCTTCCAGGGGGATCACATGGTGTTTCACCCAGCTGATGCTGGTAATAGTCGGCAACACCTGGGTCAAATCGAGCTCAATCGTCAGCTATACCTGCAGCACCCTACCTCAACAGACACCACAAAACAAGATGTTTCACCTCATCAACAACACAGTGATGTTGGGATGGCAGAAATAAAGGAGGAGAGCAGAAAGGCAAAAGGCTCGATGCACACGCCTGGTGTGACAAAGAAGTACACGCTGGGGAACAGGGGAGACAGGCATGGACAGTTTGACCACCCAATGGGCATTGTTGTGTCCACAGAGGACCTCATACTTGTTGCTGATAGTCATAACGGGCGCATCCAGGCATTTGACTCAACCTCATGGAAGCGTGTAAACAGTTTTTCCACAAAACTCAAGGTTGAAGACCTCTCCCGTCCGACAGACCTGGCTATTGGCTCAGATGGGAACGTGTACGTTGTGGACCTGGAAAACAAGTCTGTCAAAGTATTTGACCAGGAAGGTCGCCACAAACTTACATTTCCTGATGTCCTCCTAGTGGACCCAAAAAGTATTGCAGTGTGTCCCGCCAGTAGCCTCTTGTATGTGACCGAGTTTTCCAAGAGGGACATAAGAGTGTACAATACTGAGGGGAAGGTTGTTAGACATTTTTCTTATGTCTTGAGTGAAGAGGGCCCATTTGCCGCAGTAGCACACGTGGCAGTAAATAGGTCAGGTGACGTAGTCATCTCGGATGAAGGCAACAACTGCATAAAGGTCTTCTCACCTGACGGATGCCTCAAGTTCAGAATTGAAGGAGAGGGTAGAAGAGAGAGTGGGGGTTTCAGCTGGCCCATGGGGGTTTGTGTGGATGATCAACAGCGCCTCCTAGTCACTGACAGGGGTGAGGGAAAGGTACTGCAGTTTGATGCAGATGGGAAGTTCCTACAGTACCTGCTGACATGGAAGGATGGACTGAAGCACCCCTATGGCATTGACATTACAACAGACGGACAGGTGTTTGTGACTGATGAAGGGAAACACTGCATCTTTGCTGTAACTTTGACATAGACAGACTCTGCACACTTGTTAACAGTAAAGGATTATCCTGCAAAACATTGTTGATATGAACTCCTAACCAGAAAATCCCATCCAGACTTAAGACAAGCCCTAGGTAATCTGAGGCTTTCACTCTGTGAAGGTCATCTAGGGACAAAATAACATAGCTGTTCCAGGTCTTGTTATAGCCTCTATCAGCCTTCAGAGTTGGATGGAAAGAAATGAAATTGGCCAAAAAGACGGTTAACACACCAGGGGAGTTATTCTGCTTAAGAAGTACAGATTTTAACAGACTAACTCCTCTGGCATGTTATCTGTCTATTTGGCCAATATCTCAGATCTTTCCAGCTGCCCAGAGACCTAGCTAGTTGTTACAGTAGTTTAAAAGGCTGGAAGTTTCTTTCCCTCTAGCAGCATTTCCAATGTGAAACAACTGCACATTAGTAACTGATACAGCATTTTGATGCCAGTTTTCAACCATAATTATATTGACATATCTGTCACTTGTAAAAAAAGGAAATATTTGTGGGATTAAACATTGTGTGTGTCTTCTTTCAAGCATATAAGTACAGTTGCACCAAAATGTAGCTGTCATACAATCATGCACATTGGTGCATAGTGAAAGTCTCAGACCACACTTTTTTACTTACCATCTAACAGCATTTTCAGGCAGTCCTGTTGGTCTGCATGTGCCGCCTCATGAAGGGGCCTCCAGCCTCTGTTGTCAGGCACTTCCAGGTCCCTGTCATTCTCAATGAGGCCTGTCAGGACGTTGGTGTCTCCTAACCTCACAACAACTGCAGCTGTGGAGCAGGTGTCCTCGTACACTTCTGTAAAGTCCATCCCTGGGGTGACATGGGAACACAGCTTCAGCACACTATAGCCAATATCAATCTGTTTACATCCAACTGGATACAAATGTACATGCATGTCTAAAGAAATGAGAAACTCTGGATGCCAATTGTGTGTCTTATATCAAGCTATGCTCGAGAGAGTTTTTGTACAATGGAAGGAAAACCAATACATACACTGTAAGACTGTGGAATGACCAATGTTATATAATTGTGACTGTCAGGGTATGTCTTTACCTTTGTTTGATAATGAATGGGAATTTCTAATAAGTTGTCACTTTAAATCAGCACAGAGATGAACAAGCAGCACAGTCATGTATACTGAAGGCCTTGCATGATTTAAACTGACCTTGACATATTCAAGACCAGAAGGACCTGTACATGTACCATTTAATGTCTATACTTAGACTCCATGTAGCACTTGAGAAAGGGCAGTGTTTCCTTGAGGAGGCTTACACCCCACCAGTGGAATGTGTGGCCATTAGTAACTTCTGATAGAACAGGCAAGACTCAGGCCAGCTGACCATGGTTGGGATGCCTGGTCTGGGATAGATGACCTTTCCTGTCTTAAGGATGCTTCCGGAAAATTCTTAAAGCATGGGCAGTGTAAAGTTAAAGTTTTCCACCATGCCTCAATTTTCTGCTAAATAAAAAAAAGTTCTATATAAACTCCAACTGGCTAACTTTACAGAGCACCATTTTGTAAACAGTCAAAGTTGGCACAAATTGTGACTATTTCACCATCATTTTATTATAACTTGCTGGTCCTAACTTTTATAACTGTTGGAGCAACTGTTACCATGGTTCAAAGAAGTTCTCCCAACCCATTTATACAGATTGAGCCCTGCAAAAATAAAAGCATGAGTCACGTAAGACTCACAACATTGCAGCTGTCACATAGTCAGGTCAGAAGGTGATCTTCACGAATGGAAGGAATTGGGAGTTACTGTTTGTGTCTATTTTAGTCTACCAGAGACTGGCTATAGGCCAGGACTGGTCCCAACAGCTGGAGTGTTTACTGGCCTTGAAGAATGTACCCTTGTTGCTGTAGCTATCTCAGGAAGTGATGCACAGCCTTATGAGCCACAACAGACTACTGTGTTTGTGAGTCAGTTGTGAGCATAGATAAAGTGAAGTTAATGTTAACCACCCCACCTATAGCCATGAAAATCATTATAATCCTTAGCCTACTTTCTTCTCAGAGGTATATACGCAAGTATAGACCTATCCTTGAACTGTGCACTACTGGTACTGACAATAACAAGTTACGCAATGTTTGCAAACACAAACACCACAAGTGACCCCAATACAGCAGTATCCACTTTCACTGAGAGACTAACCACTGTTGCTAGGCTTGTGCCTATTTTCTGATGCACCACAAGTCATGTAAACATGGAAATCCGATACATGGTACAAGGTTAGTCACTCCTTCAGCCAGACATGATTCATGCTGGACATATGAGGCTCAGGGAGATTAGATATGAAAACATTAGACCATACAGCTTGGTCTGACTCTGAGATGACTCTCATCATATCAACTTCACACCCAGATACTTTCAACTTGCTGCAATCCTCTATTCTGGGGAACTTTATATCTAATTTGAGCTTCATCTTCTATTACAGAACACACCATTTTTTTTTTACAAGAGAGGTTTCATTAAAATGATTGGAGCCATCAGTCACTGGTAGCTTGTTTTTAAGAGTCAGAATATTCTTGTAACATGATTAATGATGACTTTCAAGTCAGATTAAAAAGTATCTAAATTCTTTATCATCCCAAGTTCTCGTGCTGAATGTCAAAATACTTTATATGATATTGCACAGTGTCAAAGGACTTTGTTGTACTGAAGCCTGAGATGAGAACACTACCTACAGCATGACATACAAGTGGTACAAGTTCACCACAGATTATCCAGACCAAGACACACCTCTGTCTCCTATCCTGTCCTCATCATCGCTGTTCTCCTGGTCAGACAGTCCAGGTAACGACTCCTCGGGCGTGGTCAGAACCTCCTCAGCCTCAACCCCAGCCTCCTCCGCAGACAGTAGCAGAGCTGCGCGCAGGTTGGCTCGCTCTGTTTGCCACAAACACCAGGATTTACAACATGAGTTTTGCACTGCTTGACTGTTCTTGTTTTAAAGCACACCTGCTATACACATTAGTTTATCTATCTAACCATCTCAGTTCTGAGACCTGTTTTCCATATTTGTTATAAAACATGTAGATACATTTGTTATAAAACGTATAGATAGATCTACATGCTACAAACAATTCATAGATTAATAATTTGCAAACAATTCTACTAGAATTAGCAGATTACTTAAGCCATAAGTTACACAAAATTATTTATACTTACTACATGTAATGTTACTAGTATATAGATACTAAGCCAGTGATTACTACAAGCACATTTGCATGATAGATCTGTACATACATCCATATATGCAACACTTACAGAAAACACATCACATCACCAATGATTAGTCTACATGCTCTAGGAACACATGCATAATACATCACTACAGCTCAGCTATATTCAGTGTTTTTCTCATTGTAACTTTCTCAATCATTTAAGTGATATACTTGCAGCAATGTATGGGTTGGTTAGTTGGATGGTGACAGCCTTCAAGCATTGTGTGTAAGCAGTCTCTGTTCTGAAACACAAGGCCAACATGCCATCACATGTTTACATTGACGACAGCAACACCTCAAACCCAACTGTGACTTGTACAAGCCAGAGCCCAGAATGTTGTCATGTCATGGACAAACAACTAGCAGTATGAAACCTTCATAATGCAATTCTTTTCATACGTGTAGTTGGAAAAATCAGGCGTTAAGAATTTCATAATTATCATACATTGCTCCTGATTTAATAACAAAACAAAAATGAATGGTCAGAAAAAAAGAAATTCTATGACCACAGTTACGGTAACTCATCTCTGTTGCCTTGAGGAGGTGTAGACTGGTTGTGTGTTGTACCTGTCTCCTGCATGGACAGTCTCAGGACCATCTCCAGTTCTTCCTCCTCAGACTGGAGGCCCTGGTACCCTGCCGGCACACCCCAGGCCATCCTGCTACAGTCTGGAACTTCTCTGTAGTTTGGCTTTTATGTGAACTGCTTCTACACCAGCAACTGTCCTCTATAAATAAAACAAACAAACATGACGCCATCAAAATGAAGACAAGTAAAAGGTATAGAGATAACATATATTGAAAGACATGGTTACCGTAGAAGTGCAAGTAGGTATTTGACAAATTAGCACAGTATCTTCAGAAATACGATATGATATACTGCTGTAGTATTGCAGTAATAGATCTGGATACCAGAATGTTTGATCAGAATCAGGATGACAGCCCGCCTCTGCTCACACTACAATGCTGCAAACATGGTGAATCAGAAAATGTTCATTCATTGAATTCATTCGTGCTTAATTTATGTTGATTTAATTTATGTTATATTATCTTTTCTGTATCCTTGTTTGCATTATATTCTTGTTTATTTATTATGGGCTCTCTTGGAAATCAGCCCCGCGGGGCTGAAGAGACTACCCATACGTTGTTAAGATAAATAAATAAATAAATAAATAAAATAAAAAATCATTCATTGTGATGTAATGTGATAAATATAATGAAACCAAGTTGAAGTACATGTTAAATTTGAAACATGCTGCATGCTGTGACATGATTTGGGTGAGGCCTAGTCACTAAAGGATGGCATCATTATTCATAAAGTGCAATGCTATATGGATGCACGATTAATTACATCATAGTACTATTACTACAGCAACTTCTAACTCCAACCATAGGAAATTTGAAATTAATCACTATGAACCTTTCATTGTAAATTGTGTATGCAGTAAATCAAATGGTGCTTTGTTTCACTATTGTCATCTGACTTTAAATCATAAGCCCTGATGACAGTTGTGACATATTCATGATCAGCAGCATCTTAGTTTATGATCAGCAGCATCTTAGTTTATACAGATCAGACTCTATAAGACAGTATTTCATATTATTACCATGACGTCCATGAAGGTGTGGAAGGGAAAACAACTGACGTTTGACAAATCTTCGTTGAATTGTTAGGACATGAAATAAGATGGCTAAAACTCTTGAAAGTATTTCAGATAATTTTTTTTTAATATCATGCAGCATATTTGTTTAATCATATCATCCCATTAGTCCAACTAGCTACTAGCTACGTCTACAGCTGCACAGTGCCTGGCCTGTGGTACTTCTGGCAGTTAACGCCGACTGCGTCTGTCCCTCCGCAAAAGGGAACATAAACACACCATCGTCACGTCTGCCACTGGGACAAAAATTATGAAACACTTTTCTCATCATGAGTTCCTCATCAAGTCGATTCCAGCAAAGTTTGCTTCACGGCTTAGAAAACTCACCCCAACACTTACCCTGGATATCAATCTTGTCTTGTGTATGTGAGGGAAAAGCAGTTACGATGTAGAGTCTTTGCCAGACCAGTATGCATTCACAGAAGTGTCCCAGTTCACTACTCAGACTGAAATATCCAAACGAAAGAACCGCAATATATGGTAGTGGACGAGACCATTCACGGACGGGTCAATAACAATAACATTAATTACATAAAAAGATACAAGTGTCAGAAAGAGTTTTTACTTGCCATATACCATCTTTTAAATTTGACACCTAAAAATGCATAATATGTTGCAACTTCCATGTGCAACAATACGACAATAAAATGATGGGTAACGTTAGCCTTATCCACAAGTTAGTGTTATGGTCCACTGGGGTATTCCATACAGAACTTAGCACTCCATTCGTTCAAATAAAAGCCCGACAGCTAAACTTTACTTGGAATCTCACAAAGTTGAAGTTTTGCATATTATAATATCTTTATTTATATAAAAATATAATATGCTATTCGATTTATATCCATATCTTCTAAAAATTTCATAAAGCACTTTTTTCAACTACTAGTAGAGAAGCCTTTGAATCTGTATCGGAATCATAAGCTATATATTTGTAATTCACGTCGCTCTTGCGTTCGTATGTCGGCAAAGTGGGAGTAAATTTTGCTAAAACTCTGCAGTTTTCGTCAATTTGTCCGAGATATGGGGTCTTCTAAGAAGCATAAGGAGAAAGACAAGGACAGAGAGAAGGATAAGGAACTCGAGAGGGAGTCCAGAAAGAGAAAGAAGGACAAAGATCGCTCAAGATCTAGGTCAAGAGAGAGGAAGCGTGAAAAGAAAGAAAAATCCAGATCTCGGTCGAGATCGCGATCTAAGGAGAGAAAACGGGACAAGGAGAGGCACAGGGAGCGTAAGCGGGACAGGGATGGGAAGGAGAGGAAGAAGAAACACAGGGAATCGGAAGAAGTAAGAGTGAAAACAGAGCCACAGGATGATGGTAAGTCAAAATTTTTGGGGAGGGGGGCAACTACGGGTATAGTGGGGAGGGGGGCATGAAACATGTAAACATTAATTTGTGATATGCTTTAAAAATGTACCATAGCTATTATCAACACATTATGCTACCGTGGAATTCCGTCCTTGCAACTCTAAATTAGTGCGAGGAACTAGGAATTGCTATATATAGATGAAAGGTACCGTATTACATAATAGAACAAGTGCCAAAACGTTAATATCAAAGGACATTTGACCTGGACATTTAATCTATATTTTAAAGAGATTTTTCATAAAGGTGTAGTCATGTTTTGTATGTCCAATGAGTCATTGTTGTGAGAGATTCTATGATCACAATGCTGTTTTGCTCAGTGCTCTCTGTATAAAACGTATTAAACCTGTTTGTTTCCCCTTCCCAGATGAGCCAGTACCATCCACATCAGGAGCAGGAGCAGGGGGAGACAGTGCACTCAGCATTGAGGAGACAAAGTAAGGAGTAAATACTGGGGATAGCTTTGCATATATTACTAGTAACACAGCAGGAATCTAGTGATGCAATGTGTTGAGACCTGAGAACCAATAAAATCCAATGACTTGATTTATATAAACACAATACAATGCAGAATGTTGATCATTGCTAAGACCTTGCAATATGCTGGTGTTTGAATATTTTTTCCTGTGGCAAGTGTAGTCATAGTACATTTTTGTAATTCTTATTTCTGGTCTTTGTTACAGTAAACTGAGAGCAAAGCTGGGCCTAAAACCATTGGATGTTGCAGATGCTGTAGTTTCAGGTTTGTCTGCTACTTTTTCACATTTATATTTGAAATTGACTGGGGAAAATAATGCTGGAAAAATATCTCAATGTGGTTATTTCCTGACATACAGCAAAGTATTAGTTTTTTTGTTTGATTCAAAACTTCAGCTCTTGATAAATGTGTACTGTGGCAGATGTGTGCATCTTAATCTCCTATGTTTAGCTGAGGAGGAGAAAACAGAGAACAAAGAGGATGTCCACGCACCTGCCATCAACCTGGGTGAGAAGAAGAAAGCAGAGGAGCTGCGAGAGAAGATGAAAGCCATGAGGGAGAAGAGAGAGATGAACAAGAAATTAGGGTGAGCAGACTGGTAGATTTTAGTTAGTATACTGATAGTTGCATGAAGTTTTTGACTGAAATGAATACATCTTTTTGTTTATGACACAAGAAAGTATCATTGTTGAGCAAGGCTTTGTAATGCTACATCATTGAAAGTAGAGGAAATGTTACTTTGTATTCAGAATCTGTTGTTAAAATGTCTGTTGTTTTGTTGAAACACAGGAAGGTGAAGGCCCTGGGTGATGATGATGAGCTGGATGATGTG